CACACACACACACACACACACACACACACCTCATCTTGAGCCCACTGGTCTTTTTAAGCATTGGCATGACATCATCTCTCTGGATTGGAAAAGGGGTCTGTTGGGGGAGGGGAAGGGGGCTGAAGAGAGGGGAGAGGGGTGGCCCGGTCTGTTTTAGAGCCAGACAGACATGTTTAGGTTTGAAATGAGCCGGGCTGGATCGGTTACAGAGAGAGTGAAACAGAGAGAGGTGGAGGGGAGAAAAACAAAACCAGGAGGGCTGGTTCACGAAAGTGGACGAAAGACATTTTCTCATCTCAAGACTATTAGAGGACACAGGACAAGGAATCAAGTGAAAACGGGGTCAGACAGAAGACCAGAGCAACGTAAACCGTCTATCACATAATTCCTCATCTTTCCCTGTGTATCTGTAATCCTGCCCGATAGTTTGTCTTTTTCTCGATTCTTCACAATACCCCCCTGCTATCCTCTCTTCGGTGCCCTCCTATAAATACCCCCCCTGCCCCCAGATAGAGTGACAGACCATTTCTCCATGCTCTACATACCCTGCAGACAGTAGCTATTATACATTCTGCCCGTGATATTTTTGCAGTCTGTCTGCACCTCGGCTCACAGTTCACAGCTTTAATAGAGGAAAGGTCTTCATCACTGAAAAACAACACAAACTATTTACCTCTTAAATAACACATACAGACACGCGATGGAATATTTGACTTATATTTTGATTGCGTCTGTTTCACTACAGCTGAAATGCTGCAATTTCACACTGTAGCAAATAGAGTAGACCATTTATCAGGTCTACAGCCATGCTCGTGGCTTTTTAAGGCGGTATGGGCATTTTATTGTCTCGTGTCAAGTTATGTAGCTGTATGTATGTTTCTTTATTTGATCGCAGATTGAGCTTGAGCGATGCTGCAGCTTTGCTTCATCATCTGAGAACAATGAAATCTGTATAGACATTATAGGGAAGATCCCGAGGGCCAGATTTACTAAACAGGGAAAAATAGCGTGTGAGCGTAATCCACAAATAAATTGAACATTAGATAATACCTTCACTGTATTTAATTAAAAAACATTTTTTCTTCACCATGCGTATGATGCGTGCTTGTGTAAACTCATTTAAGGGCTAAAATCTTGTTAAGAGATTTCTTTTCTGCATCAAAATGAAAATATGCTGGAAAAGCTGCTTATTATTAATATGAAACATGCTTTATTTGATAAAAAATAATATCAGTTGCCTCCTTAAACCTTGTAAACACTGAAATATTGCTTTGACCTAATTACTCCCAGTCATATGGTGCATTAGTACACCTGCAGATCTGCTCGCTAACATGATTAATTCAAGTGCAAAATATTTGACGGAGCTTCAGACTCTTTGATGTGGCTCCGTTTTTCAAGTGTAGCCTATTTATCTGGATCTCTCCTCTCATCCTTCCCTTCTTCTTTCAGCAGCTCTTTATCTCCTCTATTTGTTTGTTCTCTGCTACACATTCCCTCGGCTCGCTCTCATTAAGAGCCCGGTGAGGGGGAAGAAAAGAGAAAAACCCAGAAACGCACACAAAGAAAGGTTAGTAGGCCAAGAAGGAGGCGCACCGGAAATTAAGACGTTTCAATATATCCGAATAATCAAATTAGGATGGAAGAAAACAAGAAAGGTGCAGAGGTTTAAAAAGTTGAGGATGAAGAGAAACAGGAACAAAGAGTCACATGGAATGAGTAAAAACTCTTCTTTGATCCACCCACGCATCTCGACAACAGCGGAGATGATCGCTCTCAAGGGGACGAGGACGACTCAGACTAAATTTGTCGTGTGCAAAAAAATGATTAGCGCCCGTATTATGCGAGTCATCGATCATCCTGAAAAAGCAGGACCTTCCTGGAGCGCCACAAGCTGCAGATGGCAGAAAATGCACTGACTGTGCGTGGGACTCATTGCATACTACTCCTGAGCTCTCACATAGTTGTCTAAAGTGGACAGGATATTACATCATGTCAAGAAAATGTACTCGTTAACGAGAGAAGTCAGACTGAAAGACTAGCCTAGGCCTGTGAACCGAACACTGGAGGTGCCAGGAGTTTCTCCCAGCGGGATTTTTTTCTTTAAATGCAGAACGAGCTGTAAACAGTTATGTCTTAGTGACAACTTACAGTATTACAGTACATACAGGATTAAGGATTTCATTATTTAGGTTAATACCTCACTGTAAACATGCGGTGTGTAAACAGTCAGATCCTAAATTTGGATCCACTGGCTCAGAATTATCACATTTCTTACTCCAGTATTTATTTTCCTGCAGTTCAGTCTTCTGCCACAATAAGTCAGCTGTCGATTGAAGTTGTGAAGCAACTTGAAAAGAATGTGCTGTGTTTGTGTCGTTGTAAATCCAGAAACTTTGGGTTATGGGCTGTTAACAGGACAAAATAAACTTCTTACAGAGGTCACGTCTTCAGGAGTCCTTCCAGTAATTTTACAGGCAATTTAATTTCTACTCAGCAAATGTGTCATTTGCTTTATTTTTCTTTTCTAATCTTTCAGCTCCAGCCTCTTAGTAATTGTTAAACCCGTAAACTGTAAATTTGCAACACAGGATTCAAAATATTTGATCAAATCTTGGTTTGATTGAAGTCTGAAGCTGGGTGGTTCTGTGGTGGCTAGCAGCCTCTCAGTATCTAATGTTGTATGTTATAAGCTTAAAACCGCACTCTCTGTGTAGTGCAAGCTGTATTTATATGGTTTAGAAAGTTTATGTAACGCCCAGACTACCACCGAAGACTCACGCTGGGAAACGTGTCCTCAAACGCCTCAAATCCTCGAGGTAAAAAGGAGCAGCACAAACAAAGACAGTACAGCCATTCCTTGTGTTTACAGAACCCGAGCTCGTCTCAACCACAAGAAAAGGAAAAAATAGACTCGTTTTGCCTCGGCATCAAATTTAGATCATTTTCCATCACCACAGTGACGAGGCTAACGAGGTCAAAACGCTAGCTGGGCGGGGCTTGAACATCACGAGGAGGGAGGGGCGTCATAAGTATTTGAGGGAGGGAGAGTGCGGTCACATATTGGCTGGAAATGTTGACAGAACCACAACTATCCTTAAAAGAACAGGAGCTGCGTGATTCAGCAGCGTGTCAGGCGTTTCAAAGAGACATGTGACTCAGCTAATCACCGTGTCCGAGTCCTGATGCACAACAGGAGTCCCCCCCCACACACACACGCCCCCACCCATGTACCTCATGGTCTCTAGAGAGATGAGCAAGAGGAAGAGCACAGATACAGACCCCCTCAGAGACACATATTGAATGTCACTATTCATAACTCACTCACACACACGCAGCTCTAAATCAAAGCTCATGCTACGCTGAAGAGTCGCTGTGTATCAGTGCAATTTCATTTCAATGGCATCATGAGAAGGGAGACACACAAACACGAACAACCCGTTCACCCGGAGCTATTTTAGATTCTTGCATGTCGTCGACGAGCAGACACAATACCCGCCTGAGCCGATGATAAACTCTTGTCTTCTCAGAATCATACATATACTGTAGTCATAACAACGAACAGTGGAAATCACACAATCGAGCTGAATGTAACAAGGAAAAAAGAAGATTTGGCACAAACTACTGCAAATCTGATTCCTTGTTGAAAAACCTCAAAACATTCAGTGACAACGAATTCAGTGGCTGCAAACTCGCTGCTTTCACAGTCACACACACACAGACTGCACACATCCACGTTAATAACCAGTGAGTCCTACCTTGAACTCCTGCAGCTGCTGCTTAATCATCTCCACCTCTGTGCCAACCAGGCCCTGCGCATTCAGATTCTCTTCTGCTCTTCCCAGCAGGCCTTGCAGCTCAGCCACCAGCCTGTAGAAATCACGAACACGGTCCGCAGCATCCTCGATTTGGTCCAACCTGGCCTGGCCGCGTTCACTCAGCTAGAGAGAAGAAAACACAAATCAAGGATGTTACTAACATTTACCAAAGCCGCCACCGAGTCAGGATAACCTCCATCACATCAGCGTCCTCTTCACTCACCTTGCCGGCCTGGCGGCTCAAAGCCTCCGTCTCCCTCCTGAGTGCGAGGAGGTCGGGAGAGGAGCCTTCGCGCCGCAGCATGGTGGTACACTCTGACGCGTGGCCCTCCAGCTCAGTCCTGAGGTTGGCCAGACGGGAGAGGAAGCCCTTCAGGGCGTCGGCCTGAGAGGCCAAGGAGTCCGCGTCGCGTCCAACGGGACTGAAGGAGTCCAGTTCATCATCAAGGTCGGCGAGACGTGAGAAGACGTCCCGCACGTGAGCCTGGACCTCGCCGACGCCCTGCAGCCGTGACTCCAGGGAGGAGCAGCACTGCTCGATCTGATGGAGGAGGATAACAAGTATTTAACTATGATTGTACTTGACCTTAAAATGCATTAATTTAACAACACACGTTAAAGAGATTTAAAAATACAGCAGCATCTGCCTTACAACTGAAAGACCATCTCCCCACGTTTTACTCTGACATGAAATCTCTTTTCTCTGAAGCGTCAAACCAGGAAACATCACAAATGAAAGGGCAGAAAGAGCATGACGACTTTTTGCTTTTCAGTGCAGTGACTACTTTTTTGGAAATATTTTCTTTAAAAAAAAAAAAAAGCAACAAAAGCAACAAACAAGAACCAGAAATTTAATAAGAATAGAGACCCAGTAATGACATCAGCTTAGAACAGAAGACTGCTTGTTCAAACCACAAATTAATCAGACAGAGAGAAGCCTGTGTGGTAATATTTTCTGTCCAAAGCAACAGCTCAAGGCTAGAGAACAACGTGTAACCAAACCAGAAAATGATGCAACACAGCAGCGAGTATAAATAGATTTCGTCTGTGTAGGTGCAAGGAAGGGACAGTAGAAGCATCATTGCCCAAAGCACCGCAGAACTGTTTCCTCGGCAGCAATGTCATCAGATCGATAGTTTGTCTTGTTTTAAAAAAAGGTAAATAAAACATCTTAGAGGATCCCAGCGTAGCCTGATGGCTTCGATACTGTATACAGTGAGAAGTTGTGTGGTAGTTGTGACCTTAAATGGAATATATGGAAGCTGGATTGCAGAAATAAGATGAAACGTTATGGGCGCTGAATTCTGAACGCTCTGGTTTACATTTCAAACTGTGACAAAGTGCTGAACGTCCACACCGACCATACACAGCATCACTACTATAACATTAACAGCCAAACTCCTCTGACAGCTATAGCTGTTCTGCTCTCCCTCAGTTCACTGACACACTCACTAGATCAGACACCCTCTCACACAGTGACCCTTGGAATAAATCGTTCGTCCGGTGGTAAAACATGTCTTCAGTCCAGATTGCAAAAATTGCTGGTTGGGTTTCATCAACTTTTATGGCTCCTTTCATCACTGCCCCTTTGTCACATCCTGCTGTTTTACCAAAGCATGTTCCCGGGTGGCAGATTTGGCACTTTAATATGTGCATCAAGTATATTTTAGACAATTCCAGGCACGTACAGGTAATCAGGGAATAGGAAGTTCACCCTTTTTGATAAACACAGATGTATCTGATGCCCGAGTACATTAAATAAACTTTAACAAACCTCCTCCCTTTTTAATTACAATGACCCTGCTCCCCACCTTGTCAGTAACATCTTCATACTCTTTCTCTGCATCTTTGGCCTGCTCCTGGAGTCTCCGTGTTCCCTCTGTGCTGCCTCCTGGTGTCTGGGGTGCATCCTGCACCAGCCCCTGAGCCAGGTCTCTCAGGTAGACCACCTGAGGCTGCAAGGATCTCAGACTCTCCTGCTGACTTCTCAACCTCTCCAGGCTTTTGGCACTGCATGCCTGAATGTGAAAGAAGGCGATGTGGTCACTGCTGGCAATAACGTAAGTGTGAAGGTTAATGATCAGTGCTTTTCAGTACCTGAGGTCCTAGAGCCTCCTGCACTTCGATTTGGTGCTTGGCAGCCTCCAGTCTCCTCTCCACTGCCTGTCTACCTTCTTCAAACTCCTTCAGACGGCTGGCCAGCTCCTCCAGCTGGGCGGTGCGATTGTGGAGGCTTTCGCCCAGTCCATCTACCCTCCGGTTTAGCTGAGCCTTCTCATCACGTACCTACAAAAAAAACATGTGTTTATCATTTACTGAACTTTAGATTTTTTCATACATTTTAATCTTGCATCACCAATCAGATGAATGGATTTATCAGTCTCCATATTTCAGTCCATACCTCTTCCTCCCCGATGCAGCACTGCTCCAGCAGCTGATCAGATGCAGCATTAAAGGCTTCAAGTAGAGGTTGTCGTCTCTCGATGTCCAGGGACAGATTTCGTGCTTTCTGCGAGGCTTCGTCCAGGGCAGACGAGTCAAGTGATGGTTGTAGCTCTTTTTCTTTCCCTTCGCAGTCTGCTAACCACGGTACCAGCTCAGCCTTGTGCTGCTGGTAAGTTTCTGCTTTGTTCAGAGTGTTTTTCAGTCTTGCCTCCCTGTCTGAGATCCTGTGGTTCAGGCCCTCCCAGTCCTGTCTCAAGGAGGTCAGACGGGCCTGCAGGGCTGAGCGCTCGTCTGCTGGTAGAGTGGCGAGGAGCGACGCTCCCTCAGCCTGGATCAGCTCGTAGGAGCCTCGCTGACTGGCAATCCCACGCTGGAGCTCATCTGTCTCTGCCAGCAGGGAGCGAATGGCCTCCGGCTGACAGGGCAGGGCGACGGTTGATGATTCTCTAGGATCTGTCTGCTTGTCAAGCCAGGAGCGCAACTCCTCAAACATCTGCTGGAACTGCTGGGTGGACGACAGGGCAGCCTGGAGCTGAGACAGACCGTCAGCTAAAGGAAAGAAAAGCAGAGCATGAGGAATTAGAAACAAACACCAAACAAGTACATTAATAAAAATGACAAAAAGGACTTCAGAAGGTTCTGATGTATTTATCAGTGAGTTAGTTAGTAGCAGTTTTTTGCATCAACAATTATCAATCATAATAATAATAAAAATTGTAAAATAGTAATGATAATCATTCAATGTGCCACATAAACTCCACATACCTGCACGCTCCTCCAAACTCTTGAGCGGCCCGCTGACACTCTCCAGTCGTTTGCTCAGCTCTTCTTTCAGGTAGGGTTCAGCCACGATGGCGCTCAGCTCCTGACAGAGCTTCTCCGCCTCGGCAAGCTCGGTCCGCCTTCTCTCCAGCACAGATCGGATCTCTCCGGTTTCCTGCAGGCGGCGTTTCAGTGCCTCGGGTTGAGCGCTCAGTGAGGCCTGAGCATCCAACCTCTCACTCAGAGCAGACAGACTGGAGGAAAGATCTCGGAGCAAGGCCTGAATGGGAGATTAGAAATGTTTACCACCACATGAGGAATGTGACTCAAGATTCTGCTGAAACCTCTCGACTTGTCTCAGTCTTACCTGGTACCGTTCGCTGGTTCCTTGGGCCTGATCGATGTGGTTCGACCTCTGTGTCAATTTGCTCGTTAGGTCCTCCCACTGCTGGGAGATGGAGCCCAGTTCAGAACGCACCTCTGCCAGGTCCTTGGGGTCCTGAGCAGAGTCACCGGTCTGGGAGAGGATGCCCTCAGCTGACTGAGTCAGCTGGTCAAACTGTGGCCGCCGGGTCTCAAACTCCCGCAGCATGAACTGAAGGAAAGAGGAAAGATCAAAGGCATCATTACAAATTCAATGAAGTAACCTGTCGATATCAAAAACATACAATCTGTCTTTAAAAGAATTGAAAGCCTGCAGAAACCCCCCCACTTTTTCTTGTGCTGGATTTTCATTGAACATCACTGTTTCACCTACTCAGTGCTTTAATTCTTTTTACATTTTCTGCCACGTACTTGTAACCTGACACAGCAGATGGTTTGTTAGACAGAACCATCTGGGAACTTGTCCGTGTAAACTGTTGCGAAAAGAGCTGGCACTTTCAAAAATACTTGGCAGGTGATCTGTCTATCACCGTTTTAAATCAGCGAACCAGAAGATGAAGAGAAATTTGCACATAGGACCACATGGCCAACAGCACTTCCGGCTTTATAAGGTAAGCATACCTGTGCTTGCTGTTTCTGTGTGTTGAGCATGTTGGGGTCGATGCTCAGGGGTCCCAGAACGCTCATCATCAGCTCCTTCTCCCTCAGCCAAGGACCCAACTGATTGGCCGCTGAGGCAAAGCTGCCCAGCCTATCAGCGCACGTCTCGAGCTCAGTCTGCCTCTGAGCCGCGGTCTGATTAGCCGTTTGCCAGCGGGAGTCTGAGGAAGTAATCAAAGCAGACGTGAGAAAACTTCAGTCAAACTGTTGATGAACGTGTTTGTATATTCCTCATCTAAAAACTAACCAAAGGGAACAGATTGTTTAGGGAATATTTTTTCATTTAGCTGTGCAACATTACAGCTCAGTCATATTAGATTTTTCTTCCCCTGCCCCTCCTACCTCTTCTGTCTCCTTCACTGACTCATGTTCTGGGCATCCTGCAGTGCGTGTGTGTGTACTCGGTCCACATGGCTTTGAAAAGACTTTATGAAATATGAAATATAAAGGCCTCCTTCTTGGATTTCACCTTACGTATTTCTGTCTCTGTTCGCTCATAGGAGGCCCTGGTAAAAATATCAAGTATTCGAGTGAACAAACAGCTCCGACAGGAACGCTTCCCACTCTCTCCCTGGACGGTATTGATTTCACCTTCTCGTCATCTCATATAAAAGTTATTACAAATTCTGAAGTAACGTGCAAGTTTCCTTCAGAGCCATTTTCAACTAAGCAAAAAAAACCGTCATCTTTTAAGGCCGTTTAAAGAAGTCTGGAAAGATTACGTTTCCAGCACGGTCTACATCTACAGTCATCTGCATTTTTATCTGTTTCTTATTGTCCTCTCATATTTATCAAACTTGACATGAGGGAACATAAACTCCCTGACTGCTACGGGTATCACAAGTCATATTTCTCTAAATCAGCATTTCTTTGTGTCAAGCTCCTCAGGCAGTGTTTGTTCTCTACATCACTGACTTGCATCTCCTCTGCGTGAATCGCTCAGGCTTTGACACAGTGCATCGTCTTCATAATGAATCTCTCCAAAAGTACTGCGCAGTGCAGTGCTCATTCCCGTTTCCTACACACAGGATTTACTTGGGGTGTACTGCACAGGTAAGTGCATACTTTGGCAACTCATTGAGCATCCTTCATACGTTTATTTTTTCATCCAACGGAAACAGTCCCATCACATTATTTTAAAACTACGCTAAGCTCAGCCGTTCCCGTGTCTTGTCTCCATACTAGAGGCTTGTCCAGTCCTACATCATCTTTTCCGCCGTCACCTACAGCACATACCGATCTCTTGCAGCTGTTGTCTCCAGGTGTCTGCTTCTGGTGAATCGGGGTTTTCAGCAATCAGTTTCCTCAGCGTGCTCTTCAGCTCCTCCACCTTTCCTGAGTGCTCGGCCAATTCTGACAGCAGGGCCTGCAGAAGAAAAACAACGTCTGCATATCAAAGCTATTAAAAAAAGCAAACAAAACTTGGTTATAACAGACAACAGATGACTTTGCTGCATCTTTACCAAAGAAAAAAAAGGCACCACAAAGCATTAGAGTCTATCCTTTACCTTGTTCTCCTGGGCCTGAGCTCGTACCACCTCCGGTTTGGAGGGAGAGGCGGTCTGTGCCTGTTTCAGGCTTTCCTCTCTGTCTGTCAGCCAGCTCTTAAGCTCTTCTGTGCCCTGCCTGGCCTTCTGCCTCAGCTCCAACGAGGCCTGCTGCTGACCAAGACGCTCCTTTAACTCCCCGCCCAAAGCGTCATATCGACTGTTCACATCAGACACTGCTACCTGGAGCTCTGTCAGATCTGAGGGCCAAAAAAGGCATAAACCCCGAACATATTAGAAAACCCCGGATACACCAGAACAGAGAAAACCAGCAAACAGGCAAAATCTCAGAGCAAAAGGATAGGAAGACCCACAACTGTACATAAAGAGAAACTTTGGAGTGAAGCAGTGGAGACACCAGTATTTTTTTAATGTGATAAATATACCTGCTGTGTTTTGGATGGACAGAAAGCCAGCAGTGACAGGACAGAGTGGGGGCACAGGAAAGGGTAAAACAGAGAACACTCTCTAAAAGCACCACTAATGTAGGTGGTGGTCAACTCTCTGAGGTTCATGTTAGACTCTCATTTTAACCATGTGGGGTCTGCTGCTTCTGACTACACAAAGGTTGTGCAGCGGCGTCTCGCTGGCCTTTGTGAATACGCGTGCTGCTGAGATGTTATATAATAAACAGCGAGTGAAAAGACACCACACGGTTAAGTCGGGCTTGATGGAGAAAAAGGACAGAGCGCGAGCTGGAGGGAGAGCTCACCTTTACAGGTGTGAATGCCATTGACACTGCTGGGACCTGCTGAGCCATTGATGTGAGGAGCACCTGGGAGAAAAACACACACAGCTGACTGAGTACAACATGCTCATGCAAACACCGTCGCACAAACATCAACGTGGCGAGCGACGAACCAACGGGTTTGAAAAAAGGTTCAGACACAGGTGCTCAACGGTACCAAAAACATCTGCCAGCGTACAAACAGTATCGGCACAGGATGCTCGGGAGGAAGTGAGGAACGCTGAGAGACAGACTTGGGAGAAAAAGACACGGCGGATACCCACAGTCTGAACATGGACACAGGAATCTAATGTGTGTAACACACAGCAAGATAAACACTCACACCATTCGCCTACTTCTGTTTTGGTTTTATTTGACTTAACTATTAAGATGTGTACACAAGAATATCCAACCATGTAACCAGAGGGCAGAACACCTAGAAGTGAGTGGATACAAATGTTTCTGACGTGGTTCAAAGCTGGAGAAAATAACTGGAAAAGTCTGGGATTTAGTTTGTGGTTTTGTTGGGTTTCCCTGCAAAGTCTGCAGGTAACAAACTGTTTTAGAAGTTGGCAGCGCTCCCTGTTTCCTTCATTATTTAAACGTGCCGTCGTAGCTTAGCTGTATCACAGGAATGTACCGCGACAGGTCTGATTATTAATACAGATTCATTACACTTGTTTTTGTCGTCGCCTTCCTGCAGTTCTTAATTCATGATTTGTTTTTCATATCTGTTTACCTCAGGTCAAATTACTTTATAAATCCTCCGATGATTCCCCCCCGCCCACACCGTCTGTAATTCTCACTTAAAAGCGCTCTCATGCGTAAACAAAGTCATTTAAACTGAAGCAGAGTGTGAGAGTGCTTATTGATTGGCAGCTTCTGCATCCTCGTTCTTACCCGTTTTGGTCTGAGGAGCGGTGATATCGATGATGAGCGATTCCAGCTCGGAGCCCGTCTTGTTTAGCTCTTGAACTCGGGATCCCTGCGACTCCCAGTCGTGCAACAAGTCCTGAAGTCATAAAGCATTTTAAGGAGTCGTTTCAAGTAGCATGGATATATTTTTTTCCCCATGATTCACATTGTATGAATCATTTACAGCCAAATTAATTAACCTTAAGCTGCTGAACTCTCCTCTGCAGGCCCTCGGTGTTGAGGTTGGCCTCTTTGGAGGGCAGCTGGTCCTGTGCTGTCTGAAGCCACCTGACGAGGGAGCCGGAGAGGCCGCGGAACTGGAGCAGCTGTTGCTCGCAGGCCTGAATGGCAGCAAACCTGCGTGTGGAAAAACAGACGATGAGGAAGGAAGACGACAACGTGAAGAAAACAAGTCGTAGACAGAGACCAGAGAACGTACGGAGAACCAGAGCAGGGAAAGTTCTGCTTAAAAAACACATTTTTTAATTTTCATTTTAATGTGATCCATTACAGTATAAACGGTTACCCACTGTAATTTTTTAAAGACAGAAAAATGCCCAGACAAAACACTGCTGACATGAACCAGCCAAGGTCCACGCTGGCCTGGAGGCAGCATTAACGCAGCCTTGACCTCCCTCTGCGTATGTGATCTGTGTCGGGCTAAAGCTGGAAAAGTGCTGACTGCCTGCAGACAAAACAGCTCTGAGAAGACGTCTGGCATGGAGCAGTATCATTATCACGCTGCTATTTTCTCTCCCTCGGGATTCGAGGCTGGGAGTTAGCTGAGCGGGCAGTTTATAGGACGGACAATGAGCCATGTGAACTCTGCTTATATTAGTACCCCGGTCAACACATCAGTTCACACTCATTTGAATACAGTAGGCTCACACAGACAGACACAGTACTGAGAAACATCACGTAAGATTAAAACAAACCCACATCCTACAGTACGTCGTATGAGTGCTGTTTAGCCACTATAAAATTAGAAATAATATGTTGATTTTACAGAAGGCTGACTGCCCCACCAATCTGAACTATAATCCAATAAATCTGCACCAGACTGATGGTATTTATAAATTCCCAACCCCCTGCTGACAGGCTTTAAGTGTGGCTGCTCACTGATACAACGTCAGGCCCTGTAGGCATAGCAACCGGTGCCTCGTGAAGGTTACAAATTTAGAAAACAAAATTTGGAAACCGCTCCACTCACACAGTAAGTGTTTTAAAAGTAGATAAAACTCAATCTTAGACGAATCAAACCACATCCTAGGTTTGCTCTGAATTCATCTCCAAGGTCGTCTCATTTGAAGTAAGTCTAGAACGGGCTGACATTTTTATGATTCACACATCTGGGAGCAAATGGTAAATAAAGGAGCCATGGCACTGTTCAGAGATTTGTATCTGGGGCCCTCTTGTGTATTTTATAGTGAACCTGGCAACTGATGAGACAGGAGCTGCATCATCCTCTTTTAGGAAACTTGCACACATGAATTTCAATTCTATATTATACTGTTATAAAAGAAAAAGTCTTAAATTACCACGTTATCTAAATTTAGAGGGACATTAGCTGTAAAAGTTTCTGTTTTCTATGATTTTTATTACTCAAAAAACAAACAAACACCAAAAAACCCCAAAAAACTTGTGAGCATGAACTCTTTCCTTACAACACAGTTTGGGTCCCTTTAAAAGCACTTACTCACATTTACAGCTGCACAACCTGAAAGTGCATTTTTCACATTGGTGTTTTTACCTTTCGTTTACATTTTCTTCCAGTTGGTTGAATTCATCAGTGACCTCTTTGACATTGTCCAATAAGCTTTGAGTATTACTGAAGGGTTTTGATTGGCTGAGCTCAGTGCCAAGGTTGCAGAAGGATTTCAGCTGCCCGGCTTCCTGTTCCAGCTCCGATCGGACCTCCTGAGAAAACGCACACAGACAAAAATGTTGGATGGAGCCACCGTATGACCAATCCACTGACCTATTAATGAAAATCTGTCGACCCTGCTAACCTCAATGGTCTGCCTGTAGTCGTCCACGCTGCGGTCCGGTTGACCGACGGGACTCAGAGCCTTCACTCGGCTCTGGGTGAAGACCTGGAGGTCTGACCCCAGCCGCTCGTAGCTCTCCAGCTTGGGCAGCAGCCCTTTGAGCTCAGCTTCCCTCTCAGCCTGGCTGGCCTGTGCTGCAGTGAAGCGCTGAGTCAGATCTTCTAAACTCCCCTGAAGGCCTGAAGCCGTGGAGGCGTCTGAGGTGTGAAGCAGTTTGGAAACAGAGTCTCGTGTTGCGTCCACACTGCCCTGCCGGGAGAGTAATTCCTGCCGAAGTTTCTGAACAAGAAAGACGAAAAAAAAAGAGGTCCTTTTAGAGTAGGATGGAGATTTATTATAACTATAAACCTACAAAATTCAGGCAATTTTTTTCAGATGTTTTATACTTTGTGAAAAAATTCAGCATTTTTCTTTTGGTAATTATCCCACCTGGTTCTGAGTAAGGGCATCCTGTACAGCCTGTGCAGTGGGTTCAATTGGTCCAGGGCTCAGAGCCAGTTTGTCCAACCAGCTCAGCAGACCCCTGAGGCCCTCCTGGACGCTGACAGATTGGGCCACAGCTGTCTGCAGCTGCTCGGCCCGTTCTGAGACAGATGTGGAAAGGGAGTCGAATCTCTTCTCCAAGCCATCTAAAGAGAAAGGGTGCGAAACAAGTCAAGCTGTGAAAGAGCCCAAATAAAGGCTCTGTGGTCTGTGATTATAACTGAAGTCAACGTGTTTGGCAGATTAAATCACCTGCAGCACACAGGATGTCAACAGCTTTCAGGGAAGGAGATTCATCTGTGCTGACCAGATCTCTTCCTGCCCTCTTCACCTTCTCCAGCTGCACCGAGCGCTCTGCCAGCTCATCCTGAAGCAGCTGGAAATAGAGATACCCATAAAACCCATAAATATTTCCTATAATCCTCACAAATATTACAACCTTTTTTCGTTAAATGAATGTTTTTCATAATTTCTTTGCATGATATACAGCTATGGAATGAAGACTGCAAACTAGGCCATGTTTTTGACTGCGTCTCAATTGCATATTTTCTCTTTTCTCTGTCATTTTGTGCTCATTAATGCAGGTGTTGGTCATTGCATGCTTCACCTGTACTTGTCGTAGTGTGTTCTGTAGGTTCTGCGGGTCTGTCTCTGCGCTGGCCTTCGCTATGCTTTGGTTCTGTTCCTGAGTGCTGAGCCAGGAGTGGAGGGAGACGACCTCATCCTGGTACTGCTGGTATCTCTCCAACAGGCCGGACAAACGGCTGCCCAACTCTGTTGACTGCACATAGCACACAAAGGTTTTTAAGCATATACATGAACCAAATGTGGCGTTTAGCACAGTTCCTAATGATTATCAGAACTTCCTTCACCTTGGTGTGTAGAGTGGTGTATCTGTGGTTGGCATCCTGTAGATTGTCAGTTACCAGCTGCTTGGTGCTCTCCAGAGATGCATCTGAACCACCACCTTGCTCCAGAGCTCCCTGAACAGAGTCCAGAACTTTCTGACCCGAGATGGAAACGAAGCGCAAGTCTGCCTTGTGGCAAATCACATCTTCGGCAAGCTGGAATTACACATGTATTGTTAATTAAAGAAAAAAACAACAAAACATACATAAACATCAGTGATTTCAATCTGGGCCCAGCCCATTTACTTCAGTTCAAAGCAGCAAAAACCACGTTCGGCTAATTCATTCAAACTGCAGAGCCACAACGCCACAAGCAAACTTGTCTGCCTGGAGAATTTCCTGCTCAGTAGTAGATGCAGTACAGAGTTTGAACTTCTAAAAGGTTTGCTTTTTCCTTCTTTTTTGAGAGGGGAAAAAAGGCTTTACAGATGTGCAGCTCACCCAGTGGCATCACCACCTTGTCTCTATCTGCAGGACTGAGGTCAGCATCATGTGAAAAATTAATTTGATACAACAGCTCCCTCTTGTGGAGAATTACTGGCATCCCATTTGGAAACAGTTATGTATAAGTTTGTGATCTTCATGAGAAACTTCATATTGAAATATATAAAAGCGTTGAACATAACAGATGAAAACAGGTAAGGTTTTAATGCTGTAACATGTACTTTCTCCTAGACTTTTTAAAATTGATGCAAGTATCAACCTAGAAGCTAATATTACCTACATACATGCAAAAGGTTGGTTTTATTTTGAAAAGGCTTATTGTCTTAACTTTCACAGTGTAGATAATAACCCAACATGAAGACAAAGCTCAACTCTGCACCCCTGCATGCTGAGCTCCGATGATTGTTCTCACAGTATTGTAAACGCTGGAGATGCTGTCGCTCTAGTGTAAAAACTATGTCATAACATCATTTCCAAATCATCTTAAGCATTTTCTTTCTGTAATTTCTTTCTGTAATGAAGGAAACCATCTGTGTTAGCAACGATTGGCTGGACTCTACTTCCATGTACCTTTCTGTGCTCGTCTAGCCTGCCCTTAAGTCCTTGTGCATCTGTTTCTCCTTCGCCAAGAGAACGAAGATCCCGTTCACTTTGTTCCAGCCAGGTACCCAAACTTCCATGTTCCTGGAGGAATTTTGTCAGCTCATCTTTCAGAGCCTCAGACTTTCTCAGACGGTCCTATAAGATAAACGATACAGGAGAGGCAGTCAGTTACCACAGGGGCTAAACACAAATCACTAATGCAGCCTCATTAAGTTGCAACTAAACAAAAAAGATATTCCTAGACAGTGCACATATTATGTATGGAGAATAGCACACTATTTATACACATATTTATACTTTTAGTACCTGGCAGCTCTTCAGTTTGTCCTGGTGCTGAGCCTGCAGCTGGTCCAGGGCAGCCCTGAGTCGCTGTTTCTCTTCAGGAGGAACTGTTGTGTCAGGCTGCTCCAAAAGGGACCGAGTCGACTGGGTGATCTGCAGCAGCTGTGCCTGCTGAGCCTGGAGCTGCTGAAGCTCCGCCTGGCAGAAAGATGATATCGGTCAGAACTCTGAAATATTGTAAGGCATTTAAATCAAAATGTGCCAAACACAGATCAGAGAGTTAACCTGTAGCATCTCAGTATGTGACATCACAGCGCCCTCTGGTGGTGAAAAAGGGGAATCAATAACATCCTGGGCTGCTGAAGATCCAGCTAGAGTCTTTCCAGGTTGGTTAAGGGTGGACAGTTCATTCAGGAGGGAGTCTATATGAGTTCGGGTCTCCTGTAGTTCCTCCACTGCTTTCGCCTGGAGAGGAGAAGACAGGAGCAGAGTGGAGGGTAGAAGACGTTAAATTAAAACCTAGTTGCTTTAAATGTTAGGTTTTAACTTTTAAAATGTCTTTAATGTATGTAAAAATATCTTCAGAAATGGGTAAAAATAGTTGTTTTAACAAGCGGATTTTTAAAATTCTGACAGATGTATGACCACATTGCTGCTCTTACCCTTTGTGTGTTCTGCTGCACAGTGTTATTAATGGCTGTGTCGAGCTCGGACAGCGTGGTGCTGGTTGAATCTGTCAGAGCACTGTACTGCTCCTTCATTCTTGTTAGCGCCGCCTGGAGGTTCTCCCTCTCCTCTGGGCTCAGGGTTTCTCCTTGCTCTGACAGGAGCTCCTCCACAGACCTGATGGCCTCAGCTATGCCCTCGCCTTTAGTGTGGAGGTCTTTCTGGACTTCCTGAAGACAGAAATAAAGAGATAGAAACATTGTCTTAAATATTAAGGATTAAATTACTAACATTTTTAATGATATAAGTGCGATATCCAGAATTACTGAGCTGAATCTTATACACAAAAACAAGAAAGATAGATTAATGTAGGACTTTCACACCTTTAGTTTCCTCTGCTTCTCCTGCAGGATGTCCACATCACCTGACTCTGCTCCTGGTCTCTGACTGGCCAGCAGGCTGGCAGCTCCAGCCAACCACATGCTGAGGCCTTCCAGTTTCTGAGAGCACTCTGCTTTCTGCTGCTGAACCACCTGAGAGAAATGGAAGAGAGAAGGAAAAGCAAAGATCCAGAAAGAAAGAAAATGTGAGGAAAACTGATCCTGACCAAACCTCGTACGGACGAGTCCATCATAAACACTTCAGGAACAGCCCACTCGTGATTTTGTTTTACCATTTTTATACCTCTTAACAGAAGCACAGACTACTAAGATGCTATACGTTTGTAGTGCACATTGCCAAGCTTTGAGCAGATTGTGTCCAGAGTTCACACTTAAAACACACACAGAGGCAGACACACATACACATTTACATCAACGTGTCTGACAAGCAACAAACAAACAATACAAAGAGAAATCAAACAAGTATCTGTTTTATTTTTGCTGTTTTTCCTCTTTCTCCCAGGTATTCAGATGAGACAAGAGGAAAAACAGTGACGCGCTGTAGCCAGCAAGGCTTTACTTTACCGCCGTGACACAAGCGATTTTCTTCAGTGGCAATCTGGAACAGCAAGGCAAACAGGTTAATAATACACATGTTATAGAGACATGCAGAGGAGCAAACACACTTGCATAAAAAGTTTCGGTAGTAGAAGTGAGGGTGGTGATACTGTCAAGTAGCAAAGCATTTGCAAAAACAGCAGCAGTGGTCCGAGTACAAACCCGAGACGAGGAGATCAGGTCTGAGTCGATGTGTAATGGCACTACAAGCTGAAACTATGGTGGAGGTTAGCGAGATTATGTTGGGCTTTTCTAATCCGACACATCAGATTTCATGAAACATGAGCTTTTTTAGCATGATGACAGTTAACAGCATGGCAACAAACGATGTTAAATATGAAAGCTAACCGAGTGTTTGCGCAGCGTTTAAAACCATCTCAATCATCGTTTTCCAAACCTCTCTCTCCCTCGCACTCTGCCTCTCTTTCTCCTTCTCTTCTTCTTTCTCCTTCTCTTTGCGCTGCCGCTCCTCTTCCCTGTCTCTCTGGGCTGAGAGGGCGTCGGCCCAGGCCTGGGCTTGACCGGAAGCTCTGTGGAAGGCCTTCTGCAGCTGCTGAAGCTGCCCCAGAAGATGCCTGCTTTGCTCAGGGGCCAGGTCCTGCGCCCGCTCTGAGATGAACACCTGAATGTCAAACACTACGTTGTTGACCTCGCTAGAGCGAGCCTTCAGAGAGGACTGGAGCTCCTGAAGGAAAGTTTCACACAAACAAATGAATGCTCAGCAGAACAAATCAGTGAACCAGTGTCCCCACCCCTCCATATGATCCATGTTTACGATACCAAGCAATAATAATGCTAATTATTTAAATCTACAGGTTCAAAGCATGACAAATGTATATATGCTTATAATACAATTTCTTCTTTCTAGAAAACTTGCCTTGCAAAGAGTCAGCTGCTGCGTGAGCTGATCTGAACCGTCATTTTTCTTCTCTTTCTCCATCTGAGTCTCTGTCTCTGTCAGCCAAGACAGCAAGCTCTCCACATGTTGTCCCAGTGACTTCTGCTCAGCTGTGACTGCATCCTGAAGGAAAAGTCGGAGCACCGTCAGTGATGCCTTTGTCTATTATATATGTGTGCTACCCTCTGTTATTTATCTGTTTCTGCTACCTTATAAGAGTCTCTGTGGTCTCGTAGACTTTGCAGAATGCCCTCAGAAAGAGCCCTGGCAGCCTCGTATCCTCGAGCCAAGCTCCGCCCATCCTTTTCCAGGGCCAATAGGAGTTGAGGAGGAACATTTTTCGGTTGGGGCTTCAGCAGTCGCTCAGCCGCCTCCGCCTCTTTGTTGATCTCAGGCTCCATGCCGCGCAGTTCGAGGTCCAGAGTCTGCGAGACAGATTAGGAAAAGAAAACAAAAGTTTTCTTGATTCTTGATTAAGACACTAATCCTTAAACCGGCTGACCGGTTTGTCTCGCACGGAAAACAAATGCCAATCTAAGCTGCCAACCAAATTTAAGCATTAAAAGCAGTGTGCATGTTTGTGTGTGGGAATTTCACCTCAGTCTGTCTGATGATGTCCTCCAATGTGATGAGGCTGCGACCAACAGACTGCTGCTGCTGCTGCTTCAGTTGGACCTCGATGTGTCTAACCATGGAGAGCAGGGCCACCATTCGCTGGTCGTGCTCCAAGCATTCTTGACGCATCAATGATGACTGTGGGAACAAAACAAAACACACTTTAAAGATGCTTTGACCAACCGAAGGGCTTTAAAATAAATAAATAAATAAAAATATTTATAACTTCACAAGTTTTCCTCTTGCCTTGCCAGTCACAGATGATGCTTCCTCTTTCTTTGACACCTGTTGGGGACTCTCGCTGGCGTCATCCTCTGCCCAGGTCTCAGTGGTGGTCTCAGACTGTGGGACTACAGGTGATCCAGACTCAGCTGCAGCATCTTCTGAGAGCAAAGCCGGCGTTTCTGAAGATTCAAGATGTTGCTGTTGGTTTTTTAAAGATTCTGATGCAGGAGTATCGGTGCCTTCTTCTTTGACTGGTTGGTGCGTTTTCTTCTTTCTGCCTTTGCCAGCTGTTTTATCAGGCTGTGGATCAGAAGCTGTGGGCTGAGCTGTGGACAGAGCAGCGGACAGAGCTGTGGACTGAGTCTCCACTTTGTGTCCACCGTGAGAAAGGTCAGCTTCGATCACACCTCCAGTGCCTGAATGGGATTTGTCTTTCCCGCCACTGATCTCTTCCGCTTGTACGATGTCCTGCACGTGATAACTGGGCCTCTGTGGTCGATACAAATGGGGTGAAGTTTGCGCAAGAGTCTCAACTGTTGGAATAATAATCGCAGGGGTCTCCACCTCAACTGTCTCTTCACCAGCCGAAGGTGAGAGGACATCCCCCGTTAGTGACCGACTCTCAGAATCTACCTTCTGCTCCTGAATCAAACCTGAGCTTTCCAAATCTGTTCTTTCCAGAGTGAATTTTGGGGTAATTTCTGTTGCAGTCACTTCCACTTTTTCCTTGCTCAGTGCCTTCTCAGTATCAGGCTCAGCTTTTTCAGCCACTTTCAGCCTCTTGGATCTTTTGCTCTTCTTACTTTGTTTACTAGGCTGAGCTTCTTTAGATTGGACCGATGCAGCTGTCTTAATATCTTTTTGTGTCTCTTCCATTCCAAAACTTGCATCCTTTTCTTTTTCATTTGAAGAAACCTCCAGCGGTTCAGCCTCCGTGGTCTCCTCGACCAACGGTTTCTCCACAGGCAGATTTTCTTTGACTTCTCTCAGTTTCATTTTGTCCACCTTGACACTCATCTCTTCTTCTTTACTTTCTTCAGATAAACCATCGGATGTCTTGACAGTGTCTTCTTTTACAGCTCGACTCTCCACTCCAGCCTCCTTAGCGTGCCGAGTTTGTGCCTTTACATCACTAACAGTTATACCTTTACCCTCCTTCTTCCCCACCTCTTTGCGCAGCGCCTGCAGCTCCTCAGCAGCCTGTTTCTCACTCACGCCTTTTTCAAACACCTTTTTAAGAATACTCTCTTTGGCCTTCAGGATCAAGGCCGCTTTCTCAGTGTCTGGCAGAGGGGATTTCTGAGGCAGCTCATGCTCTTTCCTTTCCTTCACCTCCTGAATGCTCTCTGGTTTTTCTGGTTGCTGAGCGACAGAATCCTTTTCTTCAGACTTCCCTTTCATCTCCTCTCTCTTATCAGCCTTTGCTGTAGCTGTTAATATTTTATTTGCCTCTTTCTCTGGTTCAGCGATTAGTTTTAAGGCTTCTTTCTGTCCCTGTCTCACCAAATTACTCTCAACCTCAAATTTCTCATCAGTCCTTATGCCTTCGATTTGCCCTTCAGAAGCTCCCTGACCATGAATCTGTGATTTCATGTCTACGTCTTGTGACGCAAGCTCAACTGTAGTCGCATTAACAGCTCCAGACTTTCCTTCCATCTCCTCCTCAGTTTGATAAATTTGAGATCCATGCTTTATCTCTGAAGGGTGTGTTTCGCCCTCTGTCTCTTTACCTTTTCCCTTCTTTTTATTTTTCCTCTTCTTTTTGCTTTTGTTTTCTGACTCTTTGGAAGCAGATGTCAACGACTGTGCTGACTCTTCAGAACGAGTGCTGGTTTTGATCTCTAAATCTTCAACCTTTAAGGGCTTCGTTTTCTCCACCACTTGGACCTTCTCTCTTATCCCATCATCTTTCTGCACTGCCACATCATCCTTTCTAGATTCCTCTTCGCCCAAATTTGACACTTCATCACCCTCTTTGCTTTCCTTGTCATCTATAACCATTACTGCCACAGGACTCGTCGTCTTGGGCTTCAATCTTCCATCCTCGGGAACACGCTCTTTTTCCCTACCCTGCACAGGTTCCCCATTGACACCTGTTCTATCCTTTTCCTGTAAATCTTTGTCAGCATGATAGATTTGTGTCGGCTTGACTTCTACAGAATCTCTGATAATGCTTTTCCTTTGTTCATCATTTATTTGCAGTCTCTCATCTGCCTCCTGTTCAGGAAGACTCTGTGATTTAGTGGTGTCTTTCTGTGGTTCAATTTCTTTTATGGCTTGCTGGATTCTTTTCTCAACATTAGTTGCAAACTTAAATAAGATGTCCATGGACTCGTCCGGCTGCCTTGAAGTCTTTTCTTTCCCTGACTCAGGTTTGTCCACTTTGTCCTCATCTGCAATCGTGTCATATAACTTTAACTGATCTGAAAGTACAGATGTCAGTGTTTTCTCTTCATCTTGCACTGCTTCTCTCTTTGAAGGTGGAGATTTCGTGGGCTCCTCAGTGTTCACATCAGACCAGTTTGATGGACTGTCTGGACTTGATGCTGAAAATTTGATAGCAGGGCTGTACGTACTATCTGATGAGGCAACGGGTGTAGAGCTTTCTTCACCACCCTCGGTCTCTACCGACATCACTTTCTCCTGAATCTCCAAAGCCACATTGTTAGATATCAGTCCTAAAGCAGTTGCAACATTGAGACCTGAGACTCGTTGTCCAGTTGAAGGATCAACTAAGCCTCCTTTCAAAAACTGGTTTGTAGCTATTTCTGTGACCATATCATCTCCAACTAAACCTCTCTTAGAAGCTTCAGGCAGCGAGAGCCTTTCTCCAGTTCTGATATCAATGATCCCACCGCTGTCTGCCTGGCTTTGGAGAAGTCTAAATGCTGGAGCTGGATCAACTTTCTTTAATGCAACTGCTTCGGGAAGGGTCAGTGTTTCCTTTGATTGTTTATCCTGAACACCACGGAATGGTTTCACCTCCAAGAAGCGTTTACCTGTTTCAATATCTATCTTACCCTGGTTTACAAGTTCTGAATAGGGCACAATCCGTGCTGTTTGGGGGTCAAGAACTCCTTGAGTTACTGTGGGAGAAGCCATGACTTCACTGGCTTTGTTCTCATCTAGAAGACCCTTAGTAACAGCCTCTGTCAAAGTAAGTTTGATTCCAGTGTCAGGGTCTGAAATGGCTCCGGTTGATGCTTGGAAAACAAAAGCTTCTGGGCGATGTGAAGGACTGACTTTTCCTTGGTAGACCCACTCAAGTTCCTCTAACCCAGGAGCAACGGACCGATCTACTAGTCCTCTATCAACAGCATCAGAAACTGGAAGCCTCATGCCTGAAGGATGGTGAATTATTCCACCTTCAGCCACTTGCCTAGCCAAGACCTGATAAGCCTCCTCTGGTCTAATTAAGCCTTTGTGAATAGCTTGTTCTATAGGAACTGGAGACTTGGACTCTGGGTCGAGAACACCTTCCATCTGAAGCTGCAAACTGGCTTTCTTGAGGAATTTTGAGGAATCTGCATCCTTTCCCTTGCATGCCTTCTCCAGTGCTACAAGTTCTTCTCTATGATCGTCTTCAATCAGCCCCAGGTTTGCTGCTAGAGTCACAGAGACTTTCTTATCCCTACGCAGGTCAACAATCCCCCCAGATGCCACCTGGGCTTCCAGAAGTCGAGAGGCTGTGTTGGGATCAATCAACCCTGCCTGAGCTGCCTCCCTCACCCCACAGATCTGCCTTTTCTCCACATCAACAACCCCTGCAAGGGTTTTATCTGACTTTAGGACACCCCACATTAGATCTTCATCTAGTAAACCCTCCTGCATAACTTCCTCCATGGTAAGTGACTCCCCACTGCTGGCATCTAGGAAGCCCCCAAACAAACCGGCTTGAGCCATTAATTTAACAGCTGTATGGCCAGGAAGGACACCCTGGGCTACTGCCTCATCTGGCAGCAGTTTTTCCCCTTCTTCTGTCATTAGACCTCCCTGTTTGAGCTGCATGACCATCCTCTCCAGTTCAGCATCCTCTTCTTGCTTTTCCACTACTGCTTCAGAGATATCAACTTGTGGTTTAGCTTGCTTTGAGTCTGTCTCTTTTACAGCCACGTTTTGTTTTATAATTTCTGATTCAGCCTGGGAATCTTTTATATCTTTCCTTTCTTGGGATGCTGTTAATTTAACATCTTCATTTGGTTTTTCCCCTGGGATGAGCTCTTTGAATGTCTTCCTTTCAACATTATCCTCTGATTTGAGTGGTGCTGTGGCCATTTCAATAACTTCTGTTGCAGTTGTACTTCCACTGTCTCGCACAGGACTATCCATGGGTTGGTATTCAGTTTGTATTATTTCATTTGGGCTCTTTGTTATTTCATCGTTGAGGTATTTAGCTGAAGCTAAACTGTCCCAACTGGTCATTTCTTTCTTTTGTTCATCTACCTTTTCACTTTTATCACCAGCAATTTCATATTTAGCTGAAATGGCTAAGTCTTCTTCTATGGGTTCTGATGGTTGCTGCAGTGATTTGTTGTCTCCTTCCCCATCATGCATTTCTTCTAGGCCACTTCTATCGTTAATCTCAAAATCCTTACTTGGTGTGACTAAACTGGAACTGTCGTTGACACCTTCACTCACTCCATTACCTGCCAAACTAATCTTTTCCCCCATTTCCAGTTTATCTAGCTTATCTGTAGCCACACTGCTTAGCGGCTCAACCTGACGAGCAGATTCTCCAGCAACCATGTCAGCGTCCTTGATCATTATCATTAGCTCAGGGTCAAGCAGCACGAGGCGCTTTCCAGAATGAGCATCTACATAGCTGTGAGTCATGAGGTGAAACAGCAGCTTGTGTTTGGCTTGTTCTTCAGGATCCTTCCCATTAGTTGATGTAGTTTCCCACACAAGGCCTGTGGGAGATGATGGAGGCAGGGGAGAGGATGGAGGAGAGGAGGAGCTAGTGGAACCCCAGCTGTGGCGGTTTAGAGATGGGTTACCTGACTGGGTCATGTTGGAAAGAACATCTGGTATGTGGATTTCTTTGAGAAAACTGACCGCACTGGGATCTAATTCATTTTCAGCAGTCCTGTTCAGGGGCAGCACCTGAAGGGTTTCTGGGTTGTACAAAGCCCCAATGGCATGTCGTTGTCTCAGGGTGCTCCTTGCTAGATCCCCCGAGATCACACCTTGTTGAACAGCCTCAGCAATGGGTAAAACCTCTCCAGTTTCAGGCCAGAGCAAGCCCATAAAAGTCCAGAGAGACTCAAGGACCAACAGAGCCAAACGAGGGGAGAGAAGGTCCCTGCGAATACTCTCTTCTAAGTCCAGGCGCTCTCTACTGAAAGGGTCTAGAATGCCCCCATTTTGCAGTTGACGTGCTAACATGGCACAGGCTAGATCCTGGTCCATAAGCCCATGGCGAACTGCTTCATCAACTGTCAGTCGATGGCCAGATCGTGGGTCTGCAATACCACCGGCAAAAAGCTGAGCTTCAATAAGTCGTACGGTAACTTTCCGATCAATCAGTCCCTCCTGCACAGCACGGAAAATACCGACTTTTCTTCCAGAACGGAGGCAAACTGTTCCTCCAGGCTGCTGCTTGACAGGGAAGAGAAGAAGCCCTGAATCATCATCGAGAACACACTGGAGCTGCAGCTCACAGAGATTTACTTTTTCAGCTGTGTTTGGATCAATCAGCTCTCTGTGTTGTAGTCTCGACTGGAGCTTGGTAATAATTCTGGGAGACAAAAGTCTCTTGTCTTCTGCTTGCTCCAAACTCAACATTTTTCCAGTTGAATGTCTCAATCCTCCAGTGTTCATCTGGAGTTGGAGAATGCGAAGTCCCACTTCCTCTCTGATTAGCCCGGTCTCCATGGCTCTAACTACAGGCAAGGCATTTTCTTGTTGTTCATCACTCACAGTCTTGGTGTTTTCCACCAAATACAGGGCGCTCTCAAGCTCAGACAGGGACTGTCTGGTATGGCTGTCAATTAGGCCTCGAGTTAGAGCTTGCTCCAGTGAAAGTTTGACAGGAGAGTCAGGTTGAAGGAGCCCACCCATAATGAGCTGGGTCTCTAGCAGAACGTGGCAGGTGTCCTGGTCAATAAGACCACGTTGAGCTGCTGGGAATACTGGGAATGTTTCCACTGTACTCAGGTCAATCACTCCAGCAATGGCAATCTCATTCTGCAAAAAGAAAGAAACCAAAATCCCAGTTGATATTCATTCTCTTTTCTTTATGACCTGGCAGTTTTAGCCAGCACGCATATTACGTAATGTTAATTTGTTATTATGTGACACTACACTATGACAGATCGTAGAATCAGGGAAAAAAAAGAAGGAAACCCACAACCACTTGCCACAAAACAGCTTATCCATGTTTAAAAATGCCACTATATATATTTCTGTTAGCAATTTGATAATTTATATTTTGAACTTGTTTTAATTTCTATTAAATTAAAAGGCATTTTAATACTTACCATCACTATTCTAGGACAAGCAGTAAGCATGCAACAAAGCATATCGTAACAAAAATGCAGAAAGAAGCGCTAGATAAGGGGAAACAACAGCAGAAAAAGGAACACACAAGTATTCAGAAGTTGAGGAGAATAAGAAAAACTACACGAGAAAAACTTAAAGGCAACGGTAAGAGAGAAAGCGAGCGCTACTTACCGTTTGGGCCCGTCCTGCTGTGCACACACTAATGGGCCAGTTTATGGCTCGGCAGAGCGAGGCGCGACAGGTGAGAAGCTGGTTGTTAGCGTTCTGCATGCCACTCTTCATTCAGACTCCTAACACTGCTTTGACGTCAAAACCTCAAACTGACCTAATGTTAAACTGACTAAGGTACAAACTGAAACTATACTAAACCATGACCGCTCAGGGAAAGCTGATCGGGGGTGGGGCAAATATGTGGCAAATAGTGATAAATAACAAATATTTATCAGTATTTCCACATTTCTGATAGTAAGTTTACCTGCTGATTTGCACAGATTATGATTATTATTGCAGATTTGTATCTTTAACTGCATCACACATTACATAATACATTTCCATGAGACTGGATGGCACTAAAACTAACCATGCAGCTGCTCTAACCTGCAATCACAAAATAGACTAATGATGTTTATCAAAGTCCTGTTTTGCTTTGTTTTCTGATCCTTGGATGTCCACAACTCTCCGTTGGCAGCTGTTAGTGATTTTCAAGCAAAATGCTGGTTTAAAAGTTTCACACATTAATAGTATGCATTAGAACAAACACAAAAACGTCATTCTCTCTCACACACGCTCTTGTGATCTGGACACAACATGCTCAAATGGTGACGTTGTTTTTTTTTGTTTTTGCATAGCTGGCCTTTGGTGCACTCACACTCTAAAATACAAAAGTGACTTCTTGAAAAGTTCTGCTTTACCTTTTACTGAGCATTTTTAGTAAAACCATAAAACATTTACACAAAAATCAACTATGAGTGCAACTGTTAAAAACTAGGAAGTGTCATAAATGAGAGCTTCAAACCTGAAATTCTCTCACACGTCCAGGGATGATGTAATGTATTTCAAATGAAGGGGAGGAACACTTGTATGAGAGTGTGAGGGCTGGGAATGTGTGATTCCCCTTGGATGACTGTACATCTACACGGGGTAAACGTATGCAGAAAAATGCTAAAAAGCAATGCTGACTTTATGCAGTGGCATTTCACCACCGTATAAAGAAAAGTAACATTTTACTTTTTCGATGCTGGGATGACATAAAAATGTGGATGTACCTTTATTTTGACAGTTTCTAAGAATGAAAAGCAAAGCTCTACAGCTTTCCCCTCACTAGCGTCACCTGGGAAGCTCTGATCTAGTGCGGCACCACTAAGGCCGTGTATTAACCATGTTAGCAGCTCAGCAGATGTATTTTCTGATGATAATGATGATGACGGTGACAATGAGGATGATAAAAATCAGGGTTGGTGATAGTTAATGACATGAATGCAGGCTTTTATATGATAATGTGAGAGTGGATCACTCCATGCTGAGGCCCAGTTCAGACTGTGTATTCCAGTTGTTTCCTGTCCTTTTCACATTTCCCTTTAACACCCATATATTGATTAATGAGCTGCAGAGGTTTCTTATACCAAAAACAAAACACTGCAGTGTATTCTAGATGGATAAATTATTTCAGCAACCCTTATTTCTCCAGTGATGACCAAAAAGATGGTCATCCTGGTAGAAATGGTTATTACAGAGGATCTGAATACACATCTGAACAGGATCCGTCGGTGTTTGTTAAACCAAACCAAGTCAATGAGTGACATTCGTCAACACTGGTGATGTTTTTCAGAAATGCAAATTGGTGAACACACAACATGCTGAACAACATAGATGATAATTTGCTGGCCCACATATAAACTCACGCTTCGCTCGCAAAGATATTCAGACTCAAGGAACATTTTATAAAAGTACCTTTGTGGTTATTTTTGTTTAAGCTCGCATAAGCAGAATACATGTTTGCCATAAATCTGCAGACACCCTTCTCCCCGCTCGGCCCACCCCAGCCAAACCGATCTACCTTTCTTTCCTCCTCTTTGGCCAGTTGCTGCTCCAGCTGCTGCAGCTGTTGGGTGGAGCTGTCGCACAGCTGGTTGTAGGTGGTCTTCAGCTCGTCCAGCTGAGCCTCCACGTGTGCCCGCTCCTCTGGGGACAACCTACAGAAGAAAAAAGGGACAAGGTTAACAGGTGTAGTTAGGTGTTTAACATTAGTCTGCATGTGTGTTGGAAAGATGCTTTACAGTGGCTTTGACATAAAATTTATAATGTGATTGTTTGAAGTTGGCAGTTATCATCATCTAATCCTAACTTCTGTTTACCCGCTGGTTACTACAGAAGTGGCCCCTGTGGTGCGTGCACTGCTGGCTGGGAGGACAGTTTAAAAATCACTGCTCTCTGTGAGGAGTCCATGCATGTCATGTTAACTTACTTGCTGGCCTGTTTCGACAGAAGGAAGACCTGTGTGCTCCTTATAGCTTCAGCCACCTGATCTTTCTTGGCTGCTAGCTGTTCATTGATGGCCTGCAGAAAAAAACAGATGAAGAATCTATTTGACAACATAACAACCTTCATGTACCACTAAACGAGGTACCAACATAACAGTCTCCTTCGCATTGATTGCATATGTATAAACAGTACCTGTTGAGCAGCCAGAGAAGACTCGGCGTTGGGGCCACCAGCGCGTCCTTGGAGGCCTTTGACCCAGCCCAGAAGGTCTGAAACCTGCCCCACCCTGGCCTGTTTCTCCTCCTCCACCTCTTTCTGCACAGATAGAGGCAAGAAAGCAAAAATTAATGACACTAAACAGTAGATTTCACATAAGATCCCTTTTTTGTCAATTCACCTGTGCAGCACATACAGTATGAGATATCACACCTTTGTGTCTCGTGACCAAAGACGCCTCTATTCACACGTTTCAGGCAGATGACCTGTGATGACATATCACAGGCACCACCTGCAGACATACACCCTTCTCATCACAAACATCCCTCAGTTCTTATACAGGTTTTGACACGGTACTCTCTGCCTGTGGTGTCGCGTCACCTCCTCCGGAGGCTTCTGATAACTGCACCTTGCATGTTAACTCTAGACACCCAGTATGGGGATGCATTGCGAGCGGTTTGGACTGCAGTGCCAGCTGCACATCAATTATTTGGAGCTGCTAGCTGCTTTTCCAGCTTTCAAGCATTTCTGCCCAGTTCTGATAGACCAGTATGTCCTGGACAGAACAATTAACTCTACACTTCCCAGTTAAAGTTTTCTCACTTTCTGTTCTTATGTTGCAGTGTTGCTTCTCTGCGTTGCCTGCCGAGAGGTCAGATTTGATAGCCAGATCTCTGCTAGTCTGGTGGCAATACTCAAAAGCATAGGAGCTTCATCCACTCAGGGAACAGAAGTTATAATAGCAACTCTTCGATTCAGTGAGCTACAGCAACCACAAGTATTGTCTAAGTAAATTAAACAGTTAATAATAGATGACCGCTGTGTAAAGCAAGAAAGTCACTGAAAGAGAATCAAAGTGTCACCTCCTCCTCCTCCAGTCTCCTCAGAGCATCGCTGATGTACTTCACATGCTGGGTTGTTAAGGTCACTAAGGCTGTGTAGCGTGTGCGCAAGTCCATGAACTGAAGAGATAATAAAAACCCCAAACAAACATCACTAACTGCGGGATATTAGATTCAGACAAATACAAAACGCACAAACTTTATTTACTTAAAACAATAAAGCTCCTGCAATGATCACGATGGTAAACTGTTATCCAATTACCTCCTGAGTGATAGCGTCAGAGGAAGAGTGCATCCTTCTCCTCTTGACAGGTGATTTGTGCATCGACTCTACAAAGGCTCTGAATGTCATCAGCTGTAGTTCATAATCCTACAAGATAAAAGCACGAGAGGAATCAAGTTTCCTGCGTACCTTCACTCCGAGACACGTCTGTCACGGTTTCTCACCTTCACTGAGGCACAGTATTGTTTGGAATGAGTCTGGCACTCGTCTAGTTTGGTCTGATTCTGTTCGATCTCAGCTACCAAGGCCTGGAAAGAAAAACAATCAGAATTTATAAATGTTTAGGCTCAAGTCGTTTTTCTCATCTGGACACATGTTGTAAGTCAGAGGATTCAGCGGCACTAACAGTCTGCTGGGCCAGTTGTTCCGACAGTGCTTTGCTGTCCATCTGTCCCGGCTGTGTGTTTTCTTGTCTCTCCGTCGTCTCTTCGATCCACTTGATCAAAGCGGAGTGGCCGTCTCTGTACTGCTGCAGGGAGGAGCCCAGAGCTTCAAGATCCGCTCGTCTGCAGAAAAAAAGAAAACTACCTTCAGATCCTTTTCCACACTAACGTCCTGATAAGTTCAGCATCCAGTTAGTTTTTCTAAGCAGATCGTTACATCGTTTGTCACAACACACATGAATCGTGCTCCTCCTTTTCTTTTTAGGCATCTTCACTCACCGTGTCTCCATCTGTCTTTTGATTCCACTCCATCTTTCTGTTATCTGATTGGCTTTGTCCTGGTAGCGCTCGAGCTCAGGGCTGCGGTCCGGGTGGAGCCTGTTGAGCTTAGACCCCGCCTCTTTGGCCTGACGTACCTCCATCTGCAGAGACTGGAAGACGCCTTCCTGCTCACCAAGCTCAGCCTGCCACTTCTGAAAGTTAGAGGTTAGAGGGTCAGAGGTTCATCTTTATAGAGACATGAGAGGACTTTATGTGATGGTGAGGCTTACCCCCAGTTGATCTCTGAGGTTCTGAATGGCTGTTGTGTCAGCAGGAACAATGTCTTCCTCACTTAGTCTGTTCTCGTACTTCCTGACTTGGCTCTCTGCTTCATCCAGGCTACGGATCAGGACATCCACTGTTTTTAACCTAAAGATGTAAAAGGACAACAAATCGTATCATCTGGGGAAACAAAAAGAACAGAGAAGTTTCACGTGACTTCTAAAAATCTAACTAACTTTTCAAGGTAGACAGCTGAGAGGTTGTGCAGTTTGTCCATCTTCTCCACAGCGTGATTGAGCTCCGACCGGAGGACAGGAACGCTGGACGAGGTCGGCTTCTCCTCGAAGAACTTAACGCAGCGATGAGACACGTCACCCAAACTGGAGCGCAGGCTGTCCAGCTCAGACCGCAGCTTCTGCATAAAAAGTATGTTTTTAATGGTTTTTTGGAACCATCTTTATTTTTAAACTACATGGTGACAATCTTTAAAATTTTAATAAACACTGCTTTGCTTCATCAAAATAGCTTCCTCTGTGGTAAATGTTTCGAAACTTCCAGACCACAGCCATACTACTCAATACCAGTTGTAATCATCATCGCTTATTTGCTTATTTATAAGGAACCCCAATAGCTTCCACAACAGTGGTTGCTAAATGTTTGCTCAAATAAAATATTACTCAATAAAGTGGATGCAAAATAGCGTCTTACATCCACAGTCAGGTTTTACTATTGTGAAAATATAAACATAAATATCAATAACATTGAGACAAAATACACAAATTTCCATTATTGCCCTCTTACAATATTTACAGTAATTAAAAGCTGCCTAAATAGACTTTTAAGTGTTTTTTGAAATTATGAATAGAAGCCAATTCTCTAAATGCATAAGGCAATTTATTTCGCTTAAAAGATGCTTTAAATATATATATTATATATATTTATTATAAATATATATATTTTTGGCCGCCTTATTCTGGACTAACTGAAGTCTGTTAAGATCTGTCTTGTTAGCTGCTCACCAAAAATGCTGACTTGTATGATGAGTATTTGCTGTGATATTTCTTGGTTAATCCAAAAACAAATCTATCAATGGACGAGCGCTTCTGCCTCTGGCTTTACAGACGATGACAACAATATACTGCAAAAAACCCTCAGTTCTTTATAACATGGGTAATAACTGTGTGCAAGCAGCAGATGGAGCTCAAACTCACCTCCTGCTCTCTAATCTGGACCGTGTTGTCAGCACCATCACCTGACAACAGGATGGGAGGCGGAGTCTCAATACTTCTCATCAGTCTCTGCTCAGCCTCGTTAATACAAAGGGTGATGTTCTGCAGCTCTGACAGGTACGACCGAGAGACTGACTCATCCTTCTCCACTGGAGAAAAATAAAAGATGAGGAACGAGGTGGATTATTTTCATTAACAGATTAAGACGGTCATTTTGAGACACGCAGAGCTATTATTTGCATCAGTTTGACTGGTCAGAGGTCAGCAAGAGATTAACTAAATGTATCCGTGTGTGAGGTCGTCCATCTTCACTCACCGGTCTCCATGTTGAGCAGCAGGTCCTGGCAGTGTTGCTGGGCCTGCTGAACGTCCTTCTCGAGCTCTCGTCTTTCGGCCGGCGTGAACAGCGAGCTCTCTTTGCTGTCTGACAGAAAGTCGGCCATCTGGGACTCCAGGTGATTGAGGACGTGCTCCCGCTCTGATGGAGACTGACTCTGAACCTGAAAGTTGAGACAAGGAGGGAGAAGATAAATATAACGGAAGAGAAGAAAAGAACCACAAATTGAAATCATCACGGCGAGAGAATAAAATCCAAATTGATAGCCGTCACATTTAAACGCATGGAGAGGATCTCACCGTGTCCAAGTTCCACCCAGATACAGTCTTGATGTCTTTGAGCAGGTAGTGCCACGATACCACACTCTTCATGTTCACATGGAGCTGATGCCACAGGGACATGACCTTCTGGTACAGCTGCTCAGCTCTGTAGACAAAACACAAGGAACATGAACATTAGGCTCTAAAATACTAAACAAAATAGATTCAGATTAAAAGGACGTCATTTTATAAACCAAACTCAAGCTCAACAGTCAGATAATCTCTAGGAAACCGTTTCTTAGGATTTTGGACTGATGTGAAGGCCGAACTTTCCTACTCTGTAGTGCTTCCTGAAGTCTACGGCCTCGCTACGCTACGTATTGTGGAAAATTGTGGCTTTTGTGCATTAAAGACTTAAAGAAAATCAACTATAAAAAAGTAAATAATCAGGACAGTGCTATCCAGAAGAAATGTTTAATACATTCACAACACCAATGCACGTTTCCAGTAGGTGGCTCACCTGCTGGCTGTGTCGATGGCCTCCTGGTTTGGAGGCGGGACGGTGAAACACACCGAGGGGACCATGGCTTCGTTCCCCGTCGGACTGATCACTTTCCACTTGGTCCTCTGAGAGTTGTCCTGCAGCACACACTCCTCTCCTCGGCTTATCGTGATCTGAGAGTATGAGGCGAGGCGCAGGGAAGGACAGATGAGAGCGGAAATGGAGGTTATGAAAATGATGTTGGAAATGATGTAGAGAACAGGGTTGACAGCAAGAGAGAATATTAAGAGAAAGGTTCACAAAGCGAGGGAGTTGCAAAAGATGATGGAGAAAGAATGGAAGGAGAAATGCCCAGAAGAAAGCAAGGGAGGAGGAAAAAAGGGGGAAAAACGCGTAAATCAAAAGCAAACAGCAAAAAAAACTCATAATGCAACACAAAATGCAAAAATTCATGGACTTCATGAAATTAGCAGGAGCCCTAACATGACGTGATATTAGAGAAGCTGAGCGAGGACAATGCCATGTGGTGTGAAAGCTGCTTTGCACCAGTGAAGGCTTTTATTGTGAAAGCAGCAAATATATTCCAAACTCAAAGCGAAACTTCCTAAAACCTGAGCTGGGTTTGAATAATTTAACGAGGAAATAAACATTAGTGACACGTTATCTGCAGGAAACCCAGCAGAGGATATAAACAGAAGACAAACGAGTTTGGCTTTAAATTTCAGCGTTAGGGCTGCACAGCCATCCCCACCCGCCACCCTCTCTCACCCCTTCCCTGCACACACACACATACAACCATAATGCAAAGCTGTGCACAAACACTTAATACATGAAGATATATTGGAACGGAAATGTTATTTTCTGACTGACTGAATGAGCCTGTGGGGCACAGACGGGTTAAATTCAGTTCAGTTCAGCGATTACCACCTGCTCTTATCAACTGATCTCAGTCTGACACAAATCTGTGACTAAACATACGAAACGAAACTGATTCTGCATAAATATATGAAATCTGCAGAATTTTTTTTTCTTTTTTCTGTTTGTATCAATCATATCTGAGCTGGATTTTACTGCATAAAGATAAACATCTATGCAAAAGAGTGACGCATTTTCCAAAAGACAATCTCCAAACCACTGGGTATTGTCTGACAACAATGCATCCAGCATTTTGTCAGCCTATTAAAAACCATGTGCATTCAGACACAATAACCTGTACACAGAACAGGAAGTCTTGGCCCGGGTAGCAGCTGGCTATACCGGAAACACCGAATCATTTGCAGTAATTCCCAGAGGCTAAGTTAGTACTTGGTTACTTATTTACAGATTGTTGCCATAATCAACTTTTGTGAGATTATCCTATCACCTGATTCTGGCTATGAGAACACCATAAACATATGCACATATAGAAAGAGTGACGTGTCACTTGGACATTATAATAAAACACTTAAATAAACATAATTGGCTGATTTGATTTGGAAAACACCACTAAATTATATTTTCCTGTAAAAACATAACACAATAAGCTTTCAGATTTTTGTTCCAGGGAGGAAATCCAGTAAAAGGTACTCTGAACCATTTCATGGGTAATTTCATCTAATTTATTCCAAGAAGTCTGAGAGTGCAGGCACAAAGTTTATTACCAATTATACAACCTGAAATCAGCTGATAAGAAAGCGGCACCTGGGGCAGTACAGTGTGTGCAGTGTCAAATCTGAGGTGAGAGAGGGAGAATATAGGCAGCTATACCTGAACGTTTGTCTTGCCAGCCCAGCCGACAGACGAGGGGGAAGGGAGGGAAGAGAATGAGGAGGAGGAAGAGGAGGGAGTGAGAGGGGAGAGGCCAAAAAAAGGTACATGAGGGTATGGAAAGAAAGGAGAAGACACAGGAAAGTGAAGGAGAGAAAGATTACTTTTGGTTCATGTGCACGTTTGTCCAGATGTTTTTTTATAACTGTCAGCTGTGTGCGAGGTTTCGTCACGTTGCTTTAGATCAGTGATGGGGTGGAGGACCAAACCACCTTCATCCTTTACCTGGAAACAAGACCTCACATCTGGTATGCTTCAGGGAGCAAACCACCCTGGGCAATCTAACACATAGTAGACTAAATATAGCAGCGCTGGGGGCAGCTGTATGTCCGTGCCAAGCTCTCAGGGTGCAAAGAGGATGGGACAGATGTATAATTGATTAGCTTTTAGATTCCCAGAGGTCATCACAGCTGAATCTGAGAGTGAATCTCATAATGCCTGAGTTATCTTTCTTAAAGACTCAGTCAGAGTGTTTTCTGAGGAGGACAAAGGCAAAGGTCATAAGTTCTGGTTAATTATGTCCATTCAGTTTCCAAATTTCGACATGCTGGTTTTAAAAAAAGAAAAAAGAAGAAAACTGGAGCTGTGTGAAAAAAAAGAAGAAATCCACTGCTGTGCGATATTCATCGTTATGGAGGAAACTGTTCATGTAGATGTTTACATCAATCTAAATTTCACGAGCAGAAAACAGTAGCTGAGTAAGGACTTTGTGGGGAAGTGCAGGGCGGGGGGCTGGTTGGTGGTGAGGGGCGAAACAATCGAGAGGTGAGGTCAGAGGTGAGTCGGTGCTAAATATGCACTTTTTTCTTAAACAAAGTCACAGATTTGAGGGACATGCCCACATGTTCATGAGGTGTAATGATACTGCTCTGGGTGCCGTACCTCGATCTGCTTGTAGTCACAGATGGCTTTGATGGGTGTTGTAGTTCCCAGAGTGCTCTCTGCACTGCGGGGGCGCAGCTGCACCACCGTCTTGGCCCGGCCCACCAGGCTAGCTACTGTACTCCGATACTCAATGAGCTGCTCCTTCTCCTCCTACAGGAAGGAAAACAACGACAACATTAAACATTGAACCTCTTTATGAAGACTGTACATGTGTGGATTTACAATAACATTCATCTAAAGGCATTTTTTCCATTGTAAGGTAAAGATCTATGTATCTGAGAACTTAAAGCAGGGATGTTAACAGCATGCTGACCTTTCCATTAGGTAATTATTTGATAATTACCCATGTCACACGCCATAAATAATAAACAATGTTAAAAAACTACGGCAGATCTATCAGGTTGCATTTTAGATACATTTTAACAGATAAGTATGTAATTAAACACCAAATATATAAAAATTCTAAATATCTGTAGCAAAATGCAGTGTATGGAAGTCAATCCAGCATCTACGGTGGCCCTGAGAGGCCAAACGGAGTGCAACTTAAGAAAACACCAGCAATAAGAAAAATGCTCCAAAAGCACACAAAACACAACAAAAAAGGGTAAAACGACAACGGAAATAGAAAAAAAACACAAGGGAAGTGTTTCTGGGGAAACAATAACCCCACGGACCAGTTGCAGGAACCAAAAATATGCCTATAATTGCACTGGGAGACACTTAAAAGAAGTGGAGGATCTATCAGTTTTGTGAGGAAAGCAAAGATGAGAGGTAAGTGCGTCATCAGTATTATATGAATCATGATAAAACACGCCTACCATGTTTTGGGTTCCTGCAACTGGTCCGTCGGGTTATTGTCTCCCCAGAAACACTTATCTTGTGTTTTTTTCCCCATTTCTGTTTTTGTTTTTCCTATTTCCATTGTGTTTTGTGTGCTTTTGCAGCATTTTTCTTATTGCAGTCCGTTTGACCTCTCAGGGCCACCGTAAGCAGCAGACGTTTCAGTCTAAATCACAAATAACGCTGGAGAAATCCGTGAATGAGTTTACAAAATCCTCAGAAAATCTTTCCAGTAGACATTTAGATGTTTCACCCTATATCATCTTTCCTCAAGTTTTTCATTTTCACACCACAAAATCCACCCAAATGATATTTAAGCAACATTTTCTGTCTGAAGTCCTTCAACACACAATCAGCTTAACGGCCTATTAGCCTGTAGCTGCTGAGATGAGTGGGCCTGCTGCTTCCTGACTCAGCTGCCCATGTTAGCCTGACCACTAAGCATTAAACATTTAACATGGGCTTTTCACCCTGACAGGTAGAATTACACTTCACTTCTCTCTCGCCCCTAAAGCAGAAGCAGAGAGAGTCATTAAGGATTCATTAGAGAGGGAGAAAACAAGGAGACAGTTACAGGTACAGGAAAGAAAACATTGAATGGAGCCGAGAGTTAGACACAGTCTGAGGCAGAGAGCTAATAACTTCATACATCACACCCCAGGAATGAATTTCACAGTGAGATGGCATTCGCTGCAGTCAGCAGGACCAGTGACAAACATAATTTACACAGACATAAATTAAAATGTGGATGCATGAGGAATTCTAGTTAATTACAACCACAGGGTGTCAAGGACTTCTTTAAAACAAATTAGATCACCAGAGAAGCCTTGCACTAAAAGAAGACCGTGGATAACATGTATGACAGCATTATGATAGCAAGAAATTGTAGTAACACAGGCTGCAGGTTAGCTTGAATGATTACAGTCATGTTATTTCATTATTGGCACTGGATTGCCCAATCAAATTTCTTAACGTAACCAGCTTTTCCTTACCTTACCTGTGAACTCATTAACCAGTTCTTTTCATTTTTACAACAGAGTTTAAACTTCCATTGTTTTCATTCAAATTCTGTCGTTTTCATTCAAATTCTGTCGTTTTCATTCAAATTCCTTTTATAAATTCTTTTTTCATTCAAATTCCATTGTTTATCTCAAATTCTGTTGTTTTCATTCAAAAATTCCGTTGTTTTCATTCAATTCCGTTGTTTTCATTCATAATTCTGTTGTTTTTCAAATTCCAGTTGTTTTCATTCAAATTCCATTGTTTATTCAAATTCCTGTTGTTTTCATTCAAATTCCGTTGTTTTCATTCAAATTTTGTTTTCATTCAAATTCATTTGTTTTCATTCAAATTCCATTGTTTTGATTCAAATTCTTTGTTTTCATTCAAATTCCATTGTTTTATTCAAATTCTTTGTTTTATTCAAATTCCATTGTTTTGATTCAAATTCTGTTGTTTTCATTCAAATTCCATTGTTTTCATTCAAATTCCATTGTTTTCATTCAAATTCCTTGTTTTATTCAAATCTGTTTTGATTCAAATTCCTTTGTTTTCATTCAAATTTGTTTTCATTAAATTCCGTTGTTTTCATTCAAATTGTTGTTTTCATTCAAATTCCATTGTTTTCATTCAAATTCCATTGTTTTGATTCAAATTCGTTGTTTTCATTCAAATTCCATTGTTTTGATTCAAATTCTCGTTCTGTTTTCATTCAAATTCCATTGTTTTGATTCAAATTCCTTGTTTTCATTCTAATTCCTTGTTTTCATTCAAATTCGTTGTTTTCATTCAAATTCCATTGTTTTGATTCAAATTCTCGTTTGTTCATTCAATTCCATTGTTTTATTCAAACTTGTTTTCATTCAAATTCCATTGTTTTCATTAAATTCGTTGTTTTCATTCAAATTCTTGTTTTCATTCAATTCCATTGTTTTCATTCAATATTTCCATTGTTTTATTCAAATTCCGTTGTTTTCATTCAAATTCCATTGTTTTCATTCAAATTCTGTTGTTTTCATTCAAATTCCATTGTTTTATTCAAATTCCGTTGTTTTCATTCAAATTTTGTTTTATAATTCCGTTGTTTTGATTCAAATTCCATTGTTTTATTCAAATTCCTGTTGTTTTCATTCAAATTTCCATTGTTTTGATTCAAATTCTTGTTTTCATTCAAATTCATTGTTTTCATTCAAATTTTAAATTCTGTTGTTTTCATTCAAATTCCATTGTTTTGATTAATTCTGTTGTTTCATTCAAATTCCATTGTTTTATTCAAATTCTGTTGTTTTATTACAAATTCCTTGTTTTCATTCAAATTCTGTTGTTTTCATTCAAATTCCATTGTTTTGATTCAAATTCGTTCGTTCATTCAAATTGTTGTTTTCATTCAAATTCCATTGTTTTGATTCAAATTCGTTGTTTTCATTCAAATTCCATTGTTTTGATTCAAATTCTGTTGTTTTCATTCTAATTCCGTTGTTTTCATTCAAATTCCATTGTTTTATTCAAATTCTGTTGTTTTCATTCAAATTCCATTGTTTTCATTCAAATTCCTGTTGTTTTCATTCAAATTCCATTGTTTTGATTCAAATTCCGTTGTTTTCATTCAAATTCCATTGTTTTGATTCAAATTCCATTGTTTTCATTCAAATTCCGTTGTTTGTATATTATAGTGTTATAGTGGAGTGTGACAACTGCAAGATACAGACTGCAACTAACAGCATAATCCAGCGCGCCAGCCGTGATTGTATAGTGGTTAGTACTCTGCATTGTGGCCGCAGCAACCCCAGTTCGAATCCGGGTCACGGCAGCGTGGTCTGACAGTAAATAATGTCTGCTGTTCTTTTGCGCATCGTACTGGTCACTGTTCAGGTATATCAATCAATCAGAACTTTATTTGCCACATGCAAGTTGCCCTGCAGTGAAATGGGGACCCCCCGACCTTACATACACAACACAGACATCACATGGGGAGACAGGTCGGAGATCGGTAGTATTACGGGAAAAACACTGAATTGCACAATACAATGGGAAAGTCCAAGAGTGAAAAAAGAGACCTCTACTCATGTTGGGCTCATATGGGAGGACAGCATGAGAACAGTAAACAAAAAAACACCTCTGCACAGAAAGCACATAAATGTCCACAGCACAACATTGTGGAGCACGTGACAAGCAACAGGGGTGGGTGGGGGGTGAGGAGTAATCTGAAACAAACACTGCAGCCATCCTGCCCTACGCTATTACTCCAGTGCTGGGCCCAGACCCGCCGTGTTCTCCAGGAGGGAACAAGCATAGAAGAGGTTGGAAAGGGAGGCGGGGATCAGTGAGTGCGTATCAGTGTATGTGTGTGCGTGTCCAGAGTTCAGCTGAGACAGTGTCCTTCGCCCTGCCAGGCTAAGTAAACAGTCTTCCAGCCAACCCAGGTGGCCTTGCATGGAATGGGAAGAACAGTCTAAACACAGTCGTTATCAGGGTGTTTTTGTTCAGCTCCAGCCTTGAGACCGCAGCTGGCGCCGAAGGGATAGCTGCATGGAGTGATGGTGGTTTTTACTTTAGTGCGAACAACTCATGAGAATTTCAAAGCTGTTCTAACAGTCCGACACTGGTCTCTCAATCTCCCGTTGGAGATCCGCCCTGTTCTGATGGTAAATAATGTCTGCTGTTCTTTTGCACATAGTACAGGTCACTGTTCGGGTATATATAGTGGAGCATATTAGGGAGAGGTTCCTGAACAAGGAGATAATACGTATTTTATCTTACTTCAAAGGCAACAAATGCTTGTGGTATCTAACCACATATGAAGAAGTCATTCAGTGACAGTCCACAAAGGAAAGATTAGGCAGGAAACAAGTCAGAATGGAGGGAGAGGTCTGATCAAATGGACACTGCTAAACACCAATCTCCACCTTAAAGAAGCTGAATAGGATGATTCAATGTTCCTGTCTCAGTTATTATCTCTGTCAAACAAAAGTTAGGCTGCTTCTTTGTTATGTCATTTAAAGGTACCTGCAGGACCGGCCTAAGAAAAGCATCTGTTTGTGACACCCGCTCTCTCGCACACCTCTTTAATAAGAGGACATGGATGCTGCTCTGGCCTGTGGAGCGATGCCCACACTAACCCTGCCATCTGCTCGAAGTCAGAGGTGTGTGTGTGTGTGTGTGTGTGTGTGTGTGTGTGTGTTTTAGTGGTGTGTGTGTGTGTGTGTGTGTGTGTGTGAAGTAGGTGCAAATATGGCAGGCTTGCAAATGTGCCATGGGGGGGAGATGATTCAGGACTCTGTAACAGATTACTTTGCCCTGTCACATGAGGTGCTGCAGCCGCCCGAGGCAGAGCAAAAACAATCAGGAGGACGCTGCAACACCAGCAGCTCAGCTACTGCAGGTCTCTGATGCTATAGTGGTTAGAAAAATGCTGTATCATTCCTGATAATATGTCAGTCTGGGAGTATACTGAATGTTCGAGTTTGCACTTTGTGCACACGGTGGAAGCAGGGATTGAGGATGCTCAGTCATCTGGGATAGAAATGTGCTACTTAAAATGTTCATTGTACAATATTTTCTGGTTTGCACATGACTCTGCAGCTGTGACTCAGAGTGGTACGTTTGATGGTTTGAAACCTGGTTCTTCTAGTACTTAGGTCAGAGTGGCTCCAGGTAAGACACCACCTTCATAATTTGCCCCTGGGGTGTGTTAAAGGTGTGTGAGTGAAACCAAAGCACTGTCTGTGTAGTAGTTAGGGGAACGTGCTTTTTTAAAAAAAATCCTAAATATCAAGTAAAGTTGAGATGTTGACACAGAGTTAGAGAAGGAAACAAAGACCCTTCTTAGATTAGAAGTGGCCACTCTCAACTAGTCTCTTACGCACAAGGGGTTGCCACAGCAGGTAGCTGTGCATGTTTGATTTGGTGTTACACCAGATGGCCTCTTCCTCCCAGGATCAAATTGGGGATGTTTGTTAAGCACTACACTATGGAGCCGCTTCTTGAAATTATCTCGCTAAATGGAGACATGATGTCAAACAACCTCTGTTATTGTCTCTCTGTTAATGGTCACTGAGCTCCAGTAGAGGTTAACATGACACAATTCTGCAGTAAATCTAGTGAAAATATAAAACCACAGTCGGTCTTTCCTTCAGCACCATAAATCTGTCTGGCATAGAAGAAACTGAATATTATTCGTAAGACAGAAAGCAAATGTGTAGATACCATTGAGTCCTGCAGCAGGTCTTCCAGTTTGCTGAGCCTGCTGTTCTTATCACAGGTATATTGTCTCTTGATGGTTTCCTGGAGCTGGCGGAGGTATGACTCACAGTCCCGGGCGTCAGTCATGAACTGACAAAAGTAAAAATGGATTTGCATGTAATAACACAAAATCATTTTAATATAAGCCTAATTATATATGTGGATGAATTCTTTTGCCAAACTCAGAAAAATAAGAATTTCAGCCTCACCTGGAAGTACGCCGTGTTGTCTTTGAGATGCTGCTCCACACACAAGCAGAGCTGGTCCACCCACTGCCACTGGGTCTGCAGGGCTGCACTGTAAGCCTGATAACAGGGAGATGGATGGATATTGAAAGTTGGTGCCATGCTAAACTTATGTAAGAGGTCCTTTAGGGGAAATAAGTGAGATTTTTACAGTCTCCGATCATATAAACTGCCTGTAATCTATCTGCAAGGCTCTAACTGGGATGTTAATCAGCACAGACAGAGTCAGCGTTTCACCCAGCCAGGGGTTTCTGGCTCTCAGCAGTGATAGGGGACAAGCAGCATTAGCATGAGACTGGTATGAAAACCATATCCCAAATAAGTGTAGCTACACCAGTATTTTAAAATGTACATAGTAATTCCTGCTCGTCGCCAAGGAAGGCTTAGGAAAAGTGAGTGCAGAGTGAATAAAAGAGCATTTTAACAAAAGCAACGTGGTTGATTTGTTCCATACAAGCGAGCCACGGATACGGAAACCCAGCGTCTTTAAAGGTCATCCAGCCCGAATGAATAAAAATCATGAAATTCACCTCCACGGTCTGCTTGGCAGGATGGTTCTCCTGACACAGACGGCCGGCCGTTTCCTGGAGTGACCGCATCACATCTCGTTTTTCATCCAGCTCTAACCTCATTTCCTGCAGGCAGAACAGGAAGCGGGGAAGGTTAAAGGTGAAGACAAACAGTCTAATGCAAAGTTACTCTTTATATGTTGGGAGGTAAACAAGACTTTTATCTTGACTTTAAATACACGTGGAAACCAAGTGAGGTTAAAGGTTTGCAATTTGTGACGGAGGAAACCGTCCCTGTGTGCGTCTCTCCTCTTCCTCACACTCACACTGTATAATTCTTTCTTTGCGTTCGTGTTGGTGTTGTTGTCGCTCCAGTCGTAGGCGATCTCCTCCTCCTCCCTCTCGTTGAGCCAGATCAGCTCGTCAGTGCATTGCGACACAAACATGTGCAGGCTCTCCAAGCTCCGCAGGCGCCATGACGAATGTTCCTATGGCAACCACACAAACAAAGCCCCATGCTAATCAGCAGTGCAGAAGCAAATACTGCAAAAGGATCCCTCTTACTTGGAAATTTGAATTACACTGACGATCCAGATGCATCTTCCCAGAAAACTAATGACAAACACTGCCCCATGTAAGAGCCCAATGTCCTGCATGTAATTCCTTAAAGGGTGCTGAACGCTAAAATCAAATTTGGATAGTGTTGTGATGGCAATTGTTTTAGTGCAAGTTGCCCATGTATGCAGGTGTAGAAATATTTGCCTTTTCTTCACTTGTGGTGGGAAAAAGTAATTTAGAAAGACTCTGAAATAATGTCTATTTACAGACATCGTGACCTGTAAAGAGGTGGAGTAAATTTTAAAAAGTAAATAAATCTGAAAACCTTTTCATGAGCAGAGAACTCTTTTCTTTCTAACAAACTACACTCACTGAGCGTCCATCTACACTTGACAGGATATAAACTCAACTGCGGCTCCCTCGGCTGAGCTGTAACGTTAGCCAGCCGCACATTTTATTTTGGTTGGTGACATAGACAGATGGATAAATGGCGATACAGGCCAGAGGAGAAATGCATAAATATTTCAAAGTGAGCTGTGCCTGTGGTTTATTTTCCCCTTCTTTGTCCTGAATGTTATTAATGCATTTAATACATTTAAAATAGCTTTTTTAGAGGTAAATCTACAAGCACATACTTCTTAAAAACCCACAGAAGAAAAACAGATTGAGAGGAATAAGTATCGATGTGATTACAAATATATTATGGGATGAATAGAAAACAGAGGACACAGAAGAGACAAAAAGGGGGGACATTTAGGGGCAGCAGGAGAAGACAGCGCAGATGCAGATTTGTGCCACGCTATAATGGGATTAACTGAGGATGCTGGGTGAGCTGGGGAAACAAAGAAGTGCAGAGGAACTCAAACACACACAAACAAAGCCACAAGCCCCTCTGAGCTGAGACTGACCAGTAGTTTGCAGTATTGGTTCTCCAGCTTGGCCAGCGTCTCAGAGTAACTGCTCTTGAAGTTGGGAGAGACTTTAGCCTGGAGGAGAGAAAGAGAAGCCTCGTTACAAAGACCATCACTGCACGGACGCCCGTGTTTGCAAAGGGAGGAGGGATGCGTGAACCTCGTAGCTGCGTGCCTCCTGCAGGCTGTTCATCAGCTCTTCAATCGCAGTGTGTATGTTGTTGTGCTCGTCGAGGTTTTTTTCTACAGAGGTGAGGTCTGCACCCCACTCGGCGCGCTCCAACAGCTCCTAAAACACAAACACAGAATGACTTCCAGATATCTTCTATTATATGTCTTTGAATGCTTTTAAGACCTCGCTTCAGTTGAATGTGATATTTTTAGGCTTGTGACGACTTCTGAATCCATATGTGACTTTTTTACAAATTCTGATTCATGTTTTATGATATTTAGGATGCTTTTAATTCATATTTCACCAAATTACTACATTTTATTTTCAGTATTTAAATAATTTAATAATAAAACAGCGTATAAAATAATCAGCAGTAAAAACAACAGCCCTAATTTTAAGAGAGGCTGACAGAGACTGACCTGCGTCTCCTCCACCCATCCGAGCAGCTCGTAGATGAACCTCAGGCTTCCTTCGTCCTCTGATGAAGACATGGCCACCAGCTGGGACCGAGCCATCGGTCGCCGCAGGAGTGCGGCTCCGACCGCTCCCACAGCTCCCAGCAGCGTCTGACCCAGAGACAGGCCCGTATCAGGGGGTCTCTGGTGGGTGTGCTCTGTCCCCGTGGTGCCCAGGGCCTGAGAGAAGTGGCCTTTCCTGTAGATGCTGGAGCACTGCAGTCTGAGGGAGACCAGCTCCTCTTGTAGGCGGGAAACTCTGATGAAGGAAAAGAAAAAAGCACATAACTGATCACGTCATTATAAACCTATGAAACATTTAATAATCTTTGACAGTATGATCCTGCTACAAAGCAGAGTTCTTTTTTTTAAAGGTACTGCTGCTTTAAAGGGCAGCACACAGTGGCAGATTTACAAAATAGTTGTTTCATTAGCTTTCATAACAGCAGTTCAAATTAGACGGAGCAGCATGCTGATGAGACGCAAAATGAGGACACGCTTTCCATCATTTTTTGACACCACTGGTTTATATCAGTGAACACTAGATGCAGAGGAGGATACAATAGGTATTAATACAAAACAAAAACACAACAGGCAACTTGTTGACCTATAATGAGTAGCTTGTATTCCCAGCTATTAATCTAAATTGTCCAGATCATAACAATTAATTGAAGACTGCTGTGATAGAGCTGAAACTGCCTAAATCATTTTAGGTCTATAAAATAATGCAGAAATCACAAAAACTATAATAAATTAAACCAATATTAAATTAAGGAATATAAAGAAATTAAAGGTGTAATAAGAAAAGATTAAGGTTAAAAAATGAAATAAGTAAATAAATTAAATTAAATAGATTTATAGATATATATATTTTGGGACATTTAATTACTTTAAAAACAAATAAAACAGAATCACTAAGAGGGGTTTTTTTGTATTAATTTTTGAAATGCTGGCATGTTTTGGACCAAACATTCAAAAAGACCAAGCCACTGACTCCATCCCACCACCATGACTCACCTGAACACCAGCTGCTCCACCTGGTAGTATTTCTCATCTCTCAGGATTTTGAGCTCCTGGTAGAGTTGTTGAATCAGAGACTCGCAGTCCTGCAGGTAACAGGCCAGCTCTCTCTCGCACTGCACGCCCTCGCCGCTCTCCGCTCGAGACATGTCCTGGAGACCAGGGGAGGGATCATTGATCAGTTTTGTTTGGCTTTTCTGTTATTATGAAGTATGACGACCTGAGGATTCGTGTTTACACAGAGATAAATTCAGTAAACAGTAAAGTGGAATCAAAGTGGACAGCAGCAAATACTAGCAGGAGCAATAAAGTGAAAATAAATATATAAAAATCAGGGTACAAAGAAACTCCAGACCCAGCACATCACTTATTCTGTCTAACGTCCCTTCATTCAGGCAGGAAGTTGTGCTCAGGCCGAGGAACACAGTCAAAGGAAGGAGTGAGCATGTTTGCAGAGGGCAGGGGAAGTGGTGTGTAAATATTTACAGTCCCAAAAGAGCGCTCACGTTTACGGCTTGGTCACATTAACACCCTGTAAAATACTCGGCCAAATTATTAAACAGTTACCCAACATAAACCCAGGGACTCTGTGTGTGTGTGTGAGAGGGAATTAAATGGATGTGAAGTGAGAGAGGTTCAGCGCTCACAGCCTGGAGTGTGTTCTTAGCGAGCGTGAGTTTCTCCTCGCAGTCCAGAGACATGTTCTGGATCTTATTGGCTCTCTGGAGCAGCAGGTCTAGCCTGTAAATGCACACAGAAGATGATGAAAAAAAAATGGTATCAGCAGTTATGATTTAATTATATGCAACATGTGAAGAGATTTGTGTGTGTGCGTACCTTTCCACAGCTGGCCGGAGAATCTTTTCTCTCTCCAGCATCTCCAGGATGAGTTTACCCCAATCCTCCTCCAGGTCATTGGGATGAAGGCCCTGAGGAAGCTTAATGCGACCAAACTCTATCCACACCTGGAATAAACAAACACGTGCAGCGTAAATACATGCCACACATCCCAACATCTGTTAGTACAAGCCAGCTATGGTTTCCACATTTTTCATAATTGTTAGGAGGGTGATTCTTTTAAATAGCGCTCCCATTAAATTGCATTGCATTGGAGTACTTCTAAAAAACTAAAATAAAAGCTGCTACAGTCTGTGGAGGCAGCTTTTTAACAGAGCTCGCCAAGGTCAAAATATGGTCACCTCTACCTCCTAAAAATCCAAAGCCGTGAAGCTCAAGACGAGGCTTCAAAGTGGGACGCGCTACCAAAGCCATTACATCAGTGACCCCATTTATGAGCAATCATAAGTCACGCCGCAGAAAACCCCCGGTAACATCAGCTGAGTGAGAATAAAATGGGAACTATTATCGGCTATCATGTGTTTGTTTACAATCAAACAATCTGCTGCTTTGATAACAGCTCGACGAAAGAAACGACTTCGCTTCGGGAGGCGAACGTGTGACTCAGCGCACACAAACACGCTGCCAACAATGTTCTCTAACTTCCTCTCGTTGACACAATCCCCCGAGCTCGACCTCATGATGCACGGAAAGGTGCCAAGTGCTGGTCGCCTTTTCCTTCCTCGTCTCCACTCTTCATTTGTTCTTACCTCCAGCAGTTTGTAGAGGTGTTCGATGTGACCTTTCTCGATCTCCTTCGCGGGGATCTCCGTCTCTTTGAAATGGACGTACTCATTGTAAAGTGCCTGAAGAAGGAGAGAAACAGCGTTATGGAGTCGGTGTTAACGCAGGCTTTGTTTGAAGCCAGCACCTGTTTTCAAAGGTTACAGCTTCCTAATCACCTCCTGCCTGAGGGGTCATTCGTGACGTGAATCGGCTCTTTTTCTCCACATCTCGAGACACTTCGTCAACCATTATTCTTTCTACTTCAATCTAACACCTTCTTCTGCAAACTAACTCACTGACTCTTCCTTTATTTCGCCTTTAATCTGAATACACTGCTGTGTGACGTTTCCACATTATTAAACCCTTCTACTCTCCCTCCTTGTGTCCTCCCTTTATTTGCTCTCTCAAGGTTTCACTGAAATCGTTTGTCAGCTGCCTTATTCAAGGCTACACGTCTGTGGGATTGCAGATACAAAGCTGGGAAGACATACAGGGATTCGATTACCACCACAGTCAAATGCATTCATGTTGCTGTCAAGCAAATTTGCATAAAAAACACCAGCTAGAATGAAGGTAAATCTGTATGTCACCAATTTTCCCAATGCTGGGTGAAACATTACACATTTTAAGTGCCGTTTGTCGGTTTATCAGCAACATTATGCAAAAACCACCAAACTGAATCTCATGAAACTTGGAGAAGTGCAGCGTGAGCAAAGTGGAGAGTCGCAAAATATGGTGCGGGTGCAGATCAAAGAGCGGGTCTAGGAATTATCATAATTTCTATTTAATATTACAAGATTGAGCTTCTTTTTTTCATAGACTTACAAACCATCAGACAAATTTAATGAAACTTGGAGAGCAAGGCCAAAGAACGAGCTCGTTAGATTCTGGCTGGTGTCCAGATCACATTATTAGGAATAATAAAGTTCGGGGGATGGGTACTGACCTTACGGGGGGACGCCCTGAGTGCTCTTCTAATATACAATTTAGAATAATGATCACTTCAACTTACTCGAGTCTCCTTTATTTGGCTTATTAGGTGGTTTTCTTAAACATGGACTCTCGCACATCTAAATATTTAAAAGAAAACTGTCGTGTTCACCTTGAGTTCTACGGGGTTTTGTGGGAAGTTCTTGTTGGCCATGAGGGCCGTGTGCTGGCGGCTCCACTGGAGCAGAGACGAGAACCTGGACTGGTACTCCGACCAGCGCTGATCCACCTCCTGAGGATGGGGGAGAGAAAGAAAATGTCGCAGATGTGACAGAAGCTGTTCATTAGTGGGAAATCATGCATCACACATTCACACACTGCCTGGCAACAGGTAGGCTGGCTCATAATGAATGGCTGGAACAGTTTTAAATTAACTGCATGATTATTTAAAGGTTTTGGCTCATTACTCAAAAAGGTCCACAGTGAACTAATAATAACCTGCCTAAATGTATTCATGTTTTAATGTTAACAGGATATGGAGGAACAGTACAGCAGGAATGTGCTACGAACTGCATGCATGCTAACAAATCACATGGAGTCCTGGGAAGTGTAGTGCATGCTTTAAACTTAACAAATTATAAATAAATAAATAATGGCATGAATGGTAAACAAGACCGTGACGTACGTGTGCGCCGATGCCCTCTCCACCCTCGGGGATTTTAGGGAAGGCATCGTAGATTGAGGAGACATAAGTGATGACTGACTTCTCGTCTGGAGAGGGAACATCAACGTCTGGGGAGAAAATGAGAGGGGGTGAAGTGAAAAGCTGCGGGAATTATGCAGGTAGTTTGGTGCTTGTTACATTATCAGTTAGAGAGAGAAAAAACAGCCTCTGAGGTTTTCAGATATTTGGCTCAGTGTTAAACCCAAACCCACACGTGAATCAGTTAATGAACTGTAACCATAAATCAAGCAGCCAGTAAGATTTAGGAAGGCTCAGTGTTTATATGAACATTTTTACAGCTGCGTCCGTCTGTAACAAGATAAAAGGAACAATTAAGTTGCATCTGAAGTACCGACTTTCAGTCTTGAACTGTTTGAGAGACTGACGAAAAGCATTACTTAGTCTATTTTCTGATGCTCAAATGTAGCCGTTTCTTGGACAGGCATGTAGCATTTTTCATGATTTTATTGATAAATTAAGCAGATCAAAGGTTTGGGAATAAGTCCAGGTCCTGCAGTTGTATCTGGAAACTTGATTTGAAATCAAAACACGGGGTCAAAAGAGCCCTTCCAAGTGAAACAGCCCGTCTATTCAGATCTGTTGTGGTGGTGTGGATTAAAAAAACCAAACTGTCAATTAAAGCAAAAGTAATCACTTAATATAAGCCTTATAAATACAACAGGAAACAATACAAGCTGTAGAAACAGCCTGTATTGTTTGTGCCAACAAACACTTCTCTAAGGTCTCTTGAGGTCTTCAGCAGCTTTTCCTGGAATGACTGGTCTATGGTGAGTCTTTGAGGTGTTTTTTTCTTCAGGGGAAACAGACCTAAATATATAAAAGGGTTTTCCACACAGAGCCAGGGTCTGGAGCTAGAGCCATTAAAGATACAGTTGTAAATATGAAAGTGTATGCTTGTGGGTCATTACTGGTTGCCTGGGAGGTTGGCAAGCTTTCAAAATAAAAGCTGGAAGACAATAGGACAGCCTAATTTGAATTTCAAGTTTACAACTTTCGTTAAATATAAGAAGCTCAGTTAGTAAAACACTGAAGACCTGTCTGTGCTCGGCCATGAACAAGCTGGCCAGAT